GAAGTTTTCCCAGATATGCCGAGTTTTTTGTGACACCCCAAGGTGTTCTCCTACCAGCTCACAAAATTTCAAGGGGGGTCGTCGGAGGAATTTTTTTTTCGTAATAGAGCTCATATAAAGAGAATTTCACTTGCTGTCACTTTTTAGCCCTCGTTGAGGGCTTTGAGTGTAACCGACAGTTTTGCCTAAAGGTCAAGCCATTCACCTAAGAGTATGCAAAAAATTAGTCAGATATACTGAGTTTAAGTACCCTAAAGTCTGCGTTGAAATGACCCTCTGTTTTTCCCATAAAATACAAAGATTATATAGGGAAATACAACTGGTCAGTTTTGACCCCTTTACGAAGTTTTCCCAGATATGCCGAGTTTTTTGTGACACCCCAAGGTGTTCTCCTACCACCTCACAAAATTTCAAGGGGGGTCGTCGGAGGAATTTTTTTTTTCGTAATAGAGCTCATATAAAGAGAATTTCACTTGCTGTCACTTTTTAGCCCTCGTTGAGGGCTTTGAGTGTAACCGACAGTTTTCCCTAAAGGTCAAGCCATTGACCTAGGAGCATGCAAAAAATTAGCCAGATATACTGAGCTTAAGTATCCTAAAGTCTGCGTTGAAATGACCCTCTGTTTTTCCCATAAAATACAAAGATTATATAGGGAAATACAACTGGTCAGTTTTGACCCCTTTACGAAGTTTTCCCAGATATGCCGAGTTTTTTGTGACACCCCAAGGTGTTCTCCTACCACCTCACAAAATTTCAAGGGGGGTCGTCGGAAGAATTTTTTTTTTCGTAATAGAGCTCATATAAAGAGAATTTCACTCGCGGTCACTTTTTAGCCCTCGTCGAGGGCTTTGAGTCAAACCGACAGTTTTCCCTAAAGGTCAAGCCATTCACCTAAGAGTATGCAAAAAATTAGTCAGATATACTGAGTTTAAGTACCCTAAAGTCTGCGTTGAAATGACCCTCTGTTTTTCCCATAAAATACAAAGATTATATAGGGAAATACAACTGGTCAGTTTTGACCCCTTTACGAAGTTTTCCCAGATATGCCGAGTTTTTTGTGACACCCCAAGGTGTTCTCCTACCACCTCACAAAATTTCAAGGGGGGTCGTCGGAGGAATTTTTTTTTTCGTAATATAGCCCATATTAGGCGCCGGTCAGTCGAGGTCAGTTTTGACCCCCTCTCCGTAGACTTATTGCCGAACCGTCACCGGCCCTCGTGTTCTATCGCCATAAGGCACCTTCGTGCCAAATTTGACGCGCCTGCGGTGCCGGGAAGTGCCCTATCGGGCACCCGACCACTTTGCTTTATATATATAGATACACACAGCAAATATTTTGCGTATATTGACTACATGCTTATGCTTGTGAAATACTTTTTAAGTATAAACTTAATACTTTATTAATATTTAAATAACTACAACTCAATTAACTAAAGACAACACAGTCAACTTTTTGAACCGTGTTTATAGTTTATACTTATGGGTTCTAGATTTTATAAAAGTATTCTCTTCGACAGTTCCCACGCCAATACACATAATACACAAATATTTTAAATTACAGTCCTCAATTCAAAATTTGCGAATACAAATTCCAGCTTTTATATTTCAAAACTTTTAAAGTTTCTTATAAAAATAATGTGTTAAGCGCATTCTTTTATCCGAATTGAGGTCCTAGGTCTAGTCGCTTGTGTAGATTTTGTAATCACCCACGGAACGACATTAGACGTATATCTGGGGGGCATGAATTGATTGGGGGTCAACTTCCGGTCAGAGAGACGGTCACTCCCACATCGATAAGAACAAAGGCTGAGTATGTCACGGTATCGGGTGTACTTTGTACATAATAACATTACGGTAATGTCCACTGAAGAAAAAAAAATTACTTCCGTATCAGGTTTTCACTTCAAATAGCTACAGTGAGTTTCATACAAGGGGAGATGACTGTAGTTCTTTTACAAAAAGGGAAAGAACTCGGTTGTTTGTTTGTTTTTTAATTTTTTTTTCTTTAGCTACTCTACATATTGTCAAAAATATTTTCGGTTAACATAAGAGAAACGTTGTTATTTTTAGCTGTAAATTGTCTCTAAAACCCAGTGGGTAAAACAAAATAACAGTTTACTAGGAGAAACATATATAGCAACCATATTGAAACGCTCTTAGTAACCGGATTAATTTTGGTTAACCATGTGTACGAATTCACGGAATACCACCTACCCTTACATACCTATAATACAGAATACCACCCACCCTGACAGACCTAAAATACAGAATACCACCTACCCTTACAGACCTATAATAAAAAAAATACCACCTAGCCTTACAGACCTATAATACAAAATACCACCTACCCTTACACACCTCTAATACAGAATATCACCCACCCTTACAGACGTTTCATACTTTTTACTAGTTTGAAAATTAAGATTTGCCTTTAATTTTACCAAATATTTAAAATCAAAGACTGTTAATTAAACTAATCCACCTTTTCAAGGATTAAAATTCGAGAAGCGAAAAAAAAAATCTGATAGGCCGCAGGGGCTGGCACTCTGTTTTCAAATATGCCTGGGGTCTGCACACGACATTACAAAACATAAACATTCGTTCAAAAATTAATGTCGATTTTTTTTGTTTGTTAAGTAAATTAAAACGGATCGCGGTTAAAGCTAAAAAAAAAATGTAATACTGTTAGTTCAACATTTTTTGTGTATATCCCACGTGATTAAATATCACGAAATTGAAAATCAACATTTTAAAATATTAATTTCACCTTCAGCGACTTACATGAAAATAGATGCGGTAAACATCTATATATATAATTCTCTTCTAGGATCAGTTAGAAAACAAGCTGCAAGCGCGCCTTTGCAGTCCCCTCTCTTCCTCTCTATCACTATCACTACCACCCCCACCCCACCCCCCACATGATCTGGTGAGCGGTGTTCACTCTGTTTACATTTTACAATCATAGAGACGGGTTTGGTGACGGCTATTAGGGGCAGATAATTGAGTTTGAAACGATTTTAAACTTAGAGGAGGTAACTAAGAGGAGGCTGCTTTCACGTGGGGGGAGGGGGGTTTAGTGTTTTTAAGCAAATATTTTCAGTGGCAGCATTGGTACTGTCGAATTCACAAATTATAAATTACTGAAAAGTAGAAAAAAAAACCCAACTAAATAGCGGCGTATGATACGCAGCGGGTCGGCTCGTGATATATAATCAACTTCGTCTACATCTATTTTTCTTGTAGACACAAGACTAATTTAAAATATAAACTAGAAAGAAAATAGATCACTGATAAGTAAAATATTTTAAATGGTTGTTTTTGTTTTGTTTTAATTTAAAACTAAGCTAAGGTTAAGAAGTCGACTGTTATTTTTTACCTTTAGAAAAGGATAATATGTAGTTTAATTTACGACATAGTGGATTCACGTGGCATAGTCACTACTGAGCGATAAGATTACACTTATGGTAGGGGCTTTTTTTTTTAAAGGACACTTGTTTCTTAAATTATTTATTAAATCTAAAGAATGCTTTGGATTTCTTTATTTTAAAAAATAACATAAGATCTAGCGAGATTGGGGGTGGGGGTGGTGGTTACTAGTGAGAGACCAGAATTTAATTAATAGCCTATATATAATGAACTGGGTGGGTTTCTTTTTTTTTCTGTCCTTATGAAAACATCACACGAAGACTTACAAAATCTTAATTAAAGATTGTGTTTGGTGGTCTGGGGGGGGGGGGGTAGAGCAGTGTATAGACTTTATAGAATGCACCACTTTGTTTTATGTCAGTGGTTCATTAACCATTTTGAAGTTACCGAACCCCACCATTTTATTTATATGCCTTCACCGAACCCTTCTTAATGGTTCTATCGTGATAGAAATTCGATCGTGAATCATATAAGTCGGGTGTGGTTTGACCACTACCGAACCCTTGAGGCTGACTCACAGAACCCCTGGGGTGCGATGGAACCCAGTTTAAGAACCACTGTTAAAAAACATTTCACGACAGTGTTGTGTAATAATACGTGGAGTTGGATCGTAGATATGGTTTCCTTGTTAGGGTGGAGCGTCGTGCTAGAGGAAGTACGAGAATTGTTCATTACTGAATTTAGAATAACGTTTTATCTTAAGACTAAATTCCCAATTTGTATGTGGTTATTTATTGATGTTATGATCTTTACCGTCAGTATAAAGTGTATATGTACTAATATATTTATCAAAGAAAACGGAGACGGATCGGTATCACACTCAGGAAGCATGCATCCACCATAACAAGGCAGGCCCTCACCTGGAATTAACAGGGAAAAAGGAAAAGGGGCAGACCAAGGAAGTCTTGGAGACGTGACTTGGAAGAAGACAAAGATTGGATAAACCCGGGGACAGTTGGAGAGACTAGCCCAGGACAGGATACAACTGGGGACAGTTGGAGAGACTAGCCCAGGACAGGATACACCTGGGGACAGTTGGAGAGACTAGCCCAGGACAGGATACACCTGGGGACAGTTGGAGACTAGCCCAGGACAGAGATGCCTGGAAATCTCGTCAACGGCCTATCTGCCAGGAGGGGCGACCTAATATCTTTATCAGTCACAGTAATGTCCATTTGAAACCCTTGTGTATTATATTTACTTCCAAACAACCGCAGGTACGATGGAGAAAATGGGAATCTGTTCTCATATAGGTCTCTCAATATATTATGCATAATGGTGATATGGCCTTCAACCCCGCAACAAGTCAAAACACTTTCGTCCAATAATTTATAGGCCATGCCACTATTTTTACTAACTCGTGAAACTTTTTTTTAAAGTTTTTTTTTTTTTAATCTTGGAACAAGTGATTTTCTTAAAATCTTGGCACAAGTGATGTTCTTAAAATCTTGGCACAAGTGATGTTCTTAAAATCTTGACACAAGTGAAATCACGAACTGACCTTGTGACGAACTTCCTGTATACAGTACCGTCAGTCCCACTATAAAAACGGAATCCCACATCAAAACGCCAGACTTATTTCTAAAATTCTCATTTATTTCTTTAAAGCCATGTCATTTTACCAGAGGCTGTCGTTTTTGTTGGCTTTGTTCGTTTATCTAAGCCTTTACGGTAGGTTGCTAAATTTAATAGTAAATAAAAATAAATGATGTAATCATTTATTTTTTGTTTGTTTACAAAAAGTAAAATCTCTTCCTGTTGCCTCAGTCGCTTAACACAATACTTGTTATTTCTTACTGGACCTACTAAGCAAATCTTACTTGTTAAGCAGTTTGATATGGACAAAATAATTATCATCTATAGCAGTGTTTCTTTCTGACTTTTTTCTCCGTAGGGGGAAGGGCTTTTAAATTTTTCGGGGGAGGTGGGCGGACAATGGTAAAAGTATATATATTTTTTGTATTAATTCTATTTCGTTCGTGGGGGGGGGGGGGGGGGTGCGGTAGATGCATGAAAGAAACTATTATCTATAATGTGACATAATGTATTAAATCGACTCCAGTTGAAATTTGTCTCGCCCTGAACCCAAATAGACCTCTTCGAATCTATCCACGAACACGCTAAAATTTCACATCTTTAAGCCCGCCTGTGAAATATGAAAATTTCACATCTTTAAGACGGCTGTGAAATGTGAAAATTTCACATCTTTAAACCCGCCTGTGAAATGTGAAAATTCCACATCTTTAAGCCCGCCTGTGAAATGTGAAAATTTCACATCTTTAAGCCCGCCTGTGAAATGTGAAAATTTCAGCTTCTGCGGACACAGACCTGTTCGGCCCCGGGGTCACCAAGGGCACTGTGGGCAGCAACCAGATCGTCGAGGCGTCCGGGCTGGCAGCCAGTCGTCTGCACGATGGCGTCCTGTACGTGCACAACGACAAGGGGGACTCGAGCCGCTTCTTTGCTGTGGACGTCAACACGGGGCATAAGGTAACGGGTTGGGGAGAGGGTCTATAGATCTAGGCGTCTTCATTTATGGGTGCCCTGACTTGTGCCCTGATTGATCCTTGATTGGTGCCCTGATGGCTGCCCTGACTTGTGCCCTGATTGGTCCTTGATTGGTGCCCTGATGGGTGCCCTGATTTGTGCCCTGATTGGTGCCCTAACTTGTGCCCTGATTGGTGCCCTAACTTGTGCCCTGATTGGTGCCCTAACTTGTGCTCTGACGGGTGCCCTGACTTGTACCTTGACTTGTGCCCTGAGAAATGCCCTGTTACAATGTAATGTAAATTTTAAAAACTATCCATTTGATGTACCATTGACGTGGTCTAGCGGTAAAGCACTGAACCACTCACCCAATCAAGTCTAAAGTTCACCTCCCGGGTTCGAGTCCATGCCAATCAGCTCGGATGTGTAGACCCACCTGAACTCTGAGAGTGTATGTTGGGGGTAGGGCTCAACAAACGTCACAGAAAGAGACGAACTCTACCTCACCTTGGGTATTTAACGTAATACAACAACACATGCTTTGTAACAATGCATAGAAAGTCAACATGACTGGCAATTCACCTACTGTTTATAAACTGTCATTTATCTTTACAAGGTGCCACTATGTACAGCCGATAATATAGCTGAGATTGGAGGGGGTGTATCTACCCAGGGCAGCACTTAGTTCTAGCTAAATTATTGATACGGTATAATTGACATCACGTCCTTTTAAACAAAATATGGATGCGGGGAGGGGGTGAAATCGCCCCAGTCTCCCGCAAGTAGCTACTTCACTGCCCCTTTTAACTAATGTCATGGTACTGTTGATTTGTTTTTTACTGTTTGCTTGCTTTTTGTTGTTTTCTTGTGGGGGAGGGATTTTATTTATGTCTAGCAATAAGCATTACTGAAAATATGAAATCAGTATATCAGTCAATAACAACACAATACCTGTTATTGAAACAATAAATTGGAAGTAAAATTTGAGTGGTCTGCTATCTACATTATTGTGGACGTCTACATCAAAAAGGGTGGGGGGGGGGGGGGGAGCGAACGCGTGTGGACGGAGAGAGTTTAATTTGACGGGTGTAGGACAAAAGGCCGACAAGATAAAAGGCCGACACGGTCAAAAGGCCGACATGCACAAAAAGCCGACAGGACACAAGGCTGACAGCCATAAGGCAGACAGCCAAAAGGCCAACAGACCATACGGCCGACAGACCATAAGGCCAACAAACCATAAGGCCTACAAGCATAAAAATACTAATATCGCAAAATATGTGTTACTGCATAGCTCCTATCTTGACAACCATCGAAATAAGGCATGAAATAAGGTGATCGTTCAAGAGGAGACGATGCTAGTTATAAATAGATGACCCCTTAATAAAATTGTATGTGGGCGTACTACTTTGTTGTTTTTTTTTTGTTTTTTTTGTTTTTTTTTTTTTTTTTTTTTTTTTTTTTTTGCTTTTAATCAGACGCGTGACACCATCAAATGTTATCTGGGTCACGTTCGTATATACATGCAGTTCGTGTTTGTTTCGGTGATCTTTATTTTTTTTTTCGAGATAAAAATATTGGTACTACTTTTTAAGCCCACTGATAAGCAGTTGACCTTTGAACCTTTCCCCTTGCAGCTTGCAACTTTCACAGTTCTCAACGCGCAGAACTACGATTGGGAGGATATTACAATCGGCGCATGCGCAGATGATTGTGCGCGAACATCCTGCAGGTATTATAAATTAGGATGTTCAAATATATCTAGTAGTATTACAATTGGCGCAAAGTCCCCCTTTCCCGAAGCACGTCTAATCGGGGGCCACTGACTGCAGTCCTCTCAGCCTCCCCCCCCTCACCCCACCCCCTTAATCCGCTACTCTTTGCGACCGATGACGTAACTCACCCCTCCACTCACACGCACACAGACGCGCAAGCATACACACATACAAAAAACAAATAACTCCCACTTGTAATGTAATTATTTTTATTATTATAATTTCCGTATCAAATATTAATTGAACTGTGTATACTGGTCATTTTTAATTACAACTTAACGATGGTCTTATACAATACGAAATAAACTGTGTAAAATTCAGTTTGAAACAGTTCCTTTTAAAAATTTGACGTCACAGCCTTGGAACTGCCCCCCTCTCATCGCGGTTTATCATCAAAATCCACCCCCACCCCTTTCCAATTTGATTATGGACTACCCCTTAGACGGGAAACTAATACGGATGGGCATAGAAACAGGTGAACTCTACTTTACCTGCCACATGGGCCCCCAGGTTTGAAAGTGAACTATATTGACAACTATACATTTACTCCAGTGTTGCTGTCTTCTCCTTTGTTGTGTTCCTTATTTTGTTGTGATCCTTATTTTTGTTGTTCCCCTTTATTGTGTTCCTATTTTGTTGTATTCCTTATTTTTTATGTTCCATATTTTGTTAGGACTCTGTGCTCCATGGTTATTGTTTACTTACCTATAGCAACACGTGTAGGGGACAGTCACGTTCACAATGGAGGGCCTCCCCTCCCCTATATGCCATATTTTACCAAAGTAAATATATAAATCATGTTTCCCAGCAACATTGTTGTATTGTGTAAACACTGACGTCATTTCCTAGCGCGACGATTACACCGGCGCGGTACTGTATCTACATAGCAGACACTGGCGATCACGGCGGTGATGGTGCTAAAAACATCATCTACATGCTCAGGGAACCGACGAGGATTGCAGACAGCGATATAAGCGCCGTCGATACGTTAACATTTAGGTAAGTGTCGTCGTTTCTTTAAGGTTAGCGATACCAGTCTCATGGTGTGGTCGAATAGTAGAGCGTTCGATCTCTAGCCCGAAGGTCTCGAGTCCCTTGGACGTGTTGAATCCACCCAGCTCTGATGGGTACCTGACTTACGTTAGGGAAAGTCATTGTGGCTGGGCATAGTGCTGAACACGTTATCCCTTCATATGTCAGGGTCGCTGAAACAGGTCTACTCTATTTCACCTTCCTCGTGGACCGTAAGGTTTGAAATGATAATTTACTATTTTTTTAACCTAACTGGTTTCATATATATATATATATATATATATATATATATATATATATATATATATATATATATATATATATACATATATATATATATATATATATATAGAGAGAGAGAGAGAGAGAGAAAGAGAGAGAGAGAGAGCTTATGTGTGCGATTATGACCAGAGTTTCTTCCAAGCATCTCTTCTTGGGGGCTCCGCTTCCCCGAATAGTCTACCGCCCCTCCCCCCGAGAATATCAAGCCCCCCCCCCCCCCCTGGAGAAAAAAGTCTGGAAGAAACACTGAGTATGACCCTGTATATCTCTGTATCTGTAATCGCCGGCTCAGGCTTTATACACGGTCCTTTGCTACAGCTGGAGCGAGCAGGACGCCGAGACGTTGATGATCGCCCCTGACGGAAGGCTGTTCATCATCTCCAAGGTCCACGGCGGTCAAGGCGCCATCGCCCAGTTGCCCAGCTCGGCCTGGGGTCAAGGCCGGGTCAGCCTCGACATGGCGCAGACGGCTAAGCTTAAGTTGAGCACGACGAATAACGACCCCCAGGGTGGGGACATCAGCCCGGACGGCCGAGAGATGCTGATCGTGGCGGAGCAGAATGTGTACTACTTCAGGTAACCTGGGCCCTTTACGGCCAGGGCGTGTAGACAGCGACATGACGAGATGGGGGTGGGTAGTCCAAGGCCGTATAATCAGTGACATTACGAGATGGGGGGGGAGTAGTCCATATCCCGTCAGGTCAGGCTGTATAGTCATTAAATCACGAGTCACGAGATGGGGGTGGGTTAGTCCCCGTCCCCCATTGGGGCGTATATTCAGTGACATCATGACATGGGTGGGGGGTAGTTAGTCCCCACCCGTCTGGGCGTATAACCAGTGACATCATGACATGGGGGGGGGGGTAATCCCCGACCATCAGGGTGTAAAGTCCAATAAATTGCGAGATGGTGTATATTATATTTAATATATATTTAACTCTGCCATTTAATGGTACAATATATAAGGTCCACTAGATTCCAAAGCCTAGTTTAAAATACCTTCAAAATATCAGGAGGGTTTAAAGATTTAAAATCTCTGCTTTTTTATTGAAGTCATGCATTTCTTTTTATTTAATTTTTGTTTGTCGAGATGGGTTTATATATTTTACTAAACCAAACCAGACGTTTGTCTTTGTTAAGCTAATCGATACTTTCACTGTTTATCAATTGGTATCGGTGTATTATAATGTGATTTTGTTAGGGATAGGTAGGGCGATGATGATTACGACAAGATTAATTGTGTGTTAAATAGTTTGTTACGTTTATGGAAATGCTATGGTTAAGTTAAAGAACAGCAGCGGCATCTCAACAGCGACTCAACACTAGCATGCTTAGGGGTTGTCCATAAATAACGTCACACTCATAGGGAGTAGGGGGCCCGTAATTTTGTGACGGTGTGTGATGAGGGGGAGGGGGGGGGGTCAGATTGTGTGACGTCACACTTTTGTATTATATAAAAGCAATGTTATAAAACGAGTTTTAGCCGTTATTTTGCGTTTTAGAAAACTTTTAATAAATTTTAATAGGAATTTATTAAAATACTCTCTATTTACAGAGTTCAGAAAATATTTTGGAAAAATACCGATGTTTTAAGAAAAATTCAACTGCAATTTTGAGGGGGGGGGGGTTTGTAGGCTGAGGTGTGACGTCATTTAAGCGGGAGGGGGGTCTGGCTTTTTGTGACGATGTGTGACGGAGGGGAGGGGGAGGTAAAAATCGTCCAAAAAAGCGTGACGTCATTTATGGATGACCCCTTACCATCATTGTGTGCTGTGTGCTGTAACACTACAACACTTATGTTTTTATTTCAGTGTCCCCAGCGGAGATTACATACAGGCTGTCCGCGACACCCCACCAGCCAGGGTCAGCTCCTACCACCCCCAACCCGCCACTGAGGCCATAGCCTGGTCACCCAATGGGCGTGGTTTTTACGTCATGGCTGAGGGAGCTAACCAGAAGATCTATTTTTATCCCAAACTTACCGGAAGTCTTCCTGTCGGCTGATTACACAAAACACCGATCATGAAATTGAGAGGAAAATGTTATAATGCGAACAATTAATTCCACGGATGTTTTAAAATCTGGAAGATACTCAATTCACAACTATTTAAGGGATTTGATTCGGTAAAAAAAATATGAATATTGTGATTGGTCTTTTTTTTTCTTGTCGTTCAATCTCAATCAAGAGAATGTTAATATTTAAAGCTATTAAAAATATGTTTAAAAATATGTTGTGATTTTTAGTGGTTGAAAGCCGACATTCCGTATGTGATACGTTTATATTTTGATACATTTTGATAGGTGACCGGAAAGATGCGCAAGGGAAAACTGCGCACAGGGCATTTTTGTTTTCTTAAGTTAAATCGAGTATTTATAGAAATGAACAAAGAGTGACTACGTGTACTCTGTAGCATAATAAAACATATTTCCAGGAAATACGACAAAAATAAAGTGTATTAGTATAATTAATTTGTATTTGTGCATTTTCTGTTTGCGAACTTTTCCGTTACGCAGTTTCCGATTGTGCATTTTTCTGGGAGCCCCTTTCATCTGTTGAGCATTCTAGTCCGTGTGTGCAGACGGAGTAGAGTTAGAGTCTCCTTTATTGAGACAACGGTATATGAATGGAGAGTGTTACTAGTAAAGCAAGCAGACACTTTTTAATTTACTTTCATAGGTCAGGTACCCGAGGGCACTAAGTTAGACAGGAGCCGAATATGCGCCATACGGCCCGGAGCCGAATGTGCGCCATACGTCCCGGAGCCGAATATGCGCCATATGGCTCCACAGTTGAGAGATTTACCACATCCCAATCCACAACACGACAGTCCTCGAACTTTCCTAGACGTTTGTTATACCAGGGTCGTATAGCCCACGACAATCTCTCAAAACATTGAAGCTGACCACACAGGGCTAAAGGAAAATAGGCATACCAAGAAAGACCTGGAGACGTAACCTGGAAGAAGACACCAAGAAGATTGGATACACCTGTGGACTGTCGGAGAGACTGACCCAAGATAGAGATGCCTGGAAAGCTCTTGTTAACTGCCTATTACCCTGAAGGGGCGACAGGAAAATCTTACCTTATATGGACCACTGTGTCTTGATGTGTCACAATCGGGAACAATCCTTTATAACCAAATCTTGAGTGTGTCTGGTCATGATTGTTACATTACTGATTGCTTGATGGCTCTCACTTAGAATAACAAGAGACTTCTTCAATTTAACTTCAGTACTGTACAACTCACAACAGACAGCTCATACGACATGTCTTGTCACCAGCTACATGTTAGTTAACTGTATGATAACACACTCGTTACACATCAAGACGGTAAACAGAGACTGAACATTCAAGGGACATAACTTAGATATATATACATAATACAAGGGGCGTAACAATTACTACCCTGACATTAGGTAACAATGATTAATATATCAATAGCATTTGAAAGATCGGAAGCTCTAAGTCAGAAAGATTATGGCACCTCAAGACGAAAAAAAAAAACAGAACTCAAACACTTCAAAAAGCAGAAGAGTTACATTAGGTTGAGGAAAAAGGCGATTCAGATTTGTTGCATTACTATTGCTATTGATTTATAGTCGAAGTTTTGAAAAATAGACTTCTGCTTGGCTTTCCTGACTAAATCAACTGTTTTCAATTTTGCGACGTCCTAATAACTGTCAAAAGATTGCAGCTAGTAAAATGTTAGCATGAGCGTCTTTTGGAAAATCGTTGCCATTTGTCTCAAAATTTTAAAAAATATAACGTAACCAAATCCAAAAAAAGCATAAATTACTTACGTTGAGTGATTTTTCAAAAGGAATATTACGTACGAGCCGACTTTACGCCGCTATTTAGTTGTTTTATTTTCTACTGTTCAGTAATTCATAATTTGTGAATTCGACATTACCAACGCTGCCACTGAAAATATTTGCTTTAAAACACTATCAGTAGCTCGTTAAGAACGATAGCCCCTCCTTCCTTTCCCCAACCCCTAACCCCCCCCCCCCCCCCCCCCCCCCCCCCCGTGAAAGTAAACTCCTCTTAGTTACCTCCCCTAAGTTTAAAATCGTTTCAAACTAAATTATCTGCCCCTAATAGGTGTCACTAAACCCAGCTCTACGATAATATTTATATAATATAATATTTAGCGTGAACCACAGCTCACCAGACCATGTAGGGGTGGGGGTGGTAGGGAGCGCGCTTACAGCTTGGTGTTTTCTATCGTCTCCAAGAAGAGAATTATATATAGATACTATGTCATTCAAATATAAAGCAAACTTTTTGTTATGAAGGGTGTCGCCTCAAAAGAGTTAGCCTTGAATAGGATAAATATATAACTATTTGTTTTTAAAATGTAAGTATTGACTTACGTTCTATAATAGTACACACCTATTTCAAGGGTTTAATGATATTTTTAAAAGCTTTATTCGCCTTAAAATTTACTTCTTTATAAATTCATTATTTTAAAAAGTATAGCCTATATATATTTAGACTAGTTCCCATTCGATAATAACAAAAGTGAATGTATTTTTAAATGTTATTTTATATACTAAGTGAGTCATTAAAAATTAATTTAAAGATTACTATTATTCAATAACAAAAGGGAGATAACAGGAATAAATGACAGCTGTAGTGAAATCAGTCCGGTGGCCGGGATTAACTTATTGTTTTCACTCTCAAGAGAGTCGGGCGTTAAAAGGTAGATAACTGAGTAGAGTTGAGATCGCATTGAAGCTACAGACATTGGTGTTACAATACATCAATACATGAATTGTTCCTTGTGTGGAGCGTCAAAAAATATAACTTTGGACATTACAAATTGTGTTTAAAAACTTAAATATCATTTTACTTATATATTTCTACAATTCGTAGATAAAAAACATAAGACAATAACATAATCGATTATTTGTTTAGATAAAATAGTATATATATATATATATATATATATATATATATATATATATATATATATATATATATATATATATATATCCGTTTCGACGATGTATAGCTGGGCTGCAAGATGAGAAGTTTCAGATGTCATCTCTGCATCACGTCCACCCTCCTCATAGACCAAGGGAAGGTTACCTATATATAGCATGGCATCAACTGGGTCATTAGGGCTGCTGAAAAGAAAACAGAGTTGGTTATCCTATCGCCTAAGGGGCTCCCTTGTGTTTGATTTCTGAGCTTTCCCTCCCAAATGGGCTTTTGTCCCCCAGCTAACGAGTCGCATCTGCTCGAGGGTTTGAACTTGGGACTTGCCCGAATATTTGATTAACGTTAAAGGTTGTGGGTCCATAAATGATGGCTTACTCCTGGTGGCGTGGGCGTTTGTGACGCTGTGTGACGACGGGAGGGGATGGTTAAGAATATGTGACATCACAATTTTTCAATTTAAAAAGGAATTAATTAATTTAGTAATTAAGTAATTTTAATGTAGGCTGTCAATATAGACTCAGTGGCTTAACAGATCAGTCCGGGGCCCGTAGACATTAAAAGTATGCATTTTCTATATACATTTCATTTTGTTTGGGGGGGGGTGGAGATGGGCGTCCCCTGTCTTTTAATGCTCACGGGCCGGCTGAACTATTACCTCAACTGCTCTGGGGCCCCGGAAATCTTGTGGACCCGGCCCGTACGTGGACTTGGCCTTCCTTGGTTAGGCCTAAATTGTTGTAATTACACTGTAAATATGTCAATAATTAGGAGGACTCTTGGACTTTCCAGTTCTTGTTTTGTTGTTGTTTTTGTTGTTGCTGTTTTATTTAGTGCATACATCTTGGCCTATTGTATTCAAATTCCGAACAAAGTTTCCCCGGTTTTCACTTTAAATAATATAGAGAGGACCCCATTCGCATTATAGATGTTTATTGTTTCAGTGCCGTTATAGTCCTTTCTCTTAGCCGGTAAACACGCCACTATTAGGCCTACTCTTTCACAAACTATATTTTGTGTCATTTTGAAAATTAATTAATACTGATAGGCCTAGGCACTGCAACAATAATTAATTACGAGCCATTAAAAATAAACTTTTAATGCAGAAGAGCACCATAAACGTGTCACACAGAGATCGGCGACCTACTTGTATGTAGTCGATTCTAAATAAATGTCTAAAAGTACTCGAGTACTACTTTTATTTTATGCTTTTTATTCAAAATTGAAAATTTACAGAGTCAGAAATATATAAATTGAGTAAAAATATTTACTGTTAAAAAAACGTAGCCGAAATTCGCAATTTCATAATTGAATTAAAGCAATTTATTTTTATCAACTATAACGATACTCGGTATTGACTTCTTCCACTTCCAACGTCAATAAACATGGCGAAAGGTAGGGTTTTGACAACGTAGCTATCCACTTTAAAATTTTATGTCTATTTGACTTTAAAAAGTACTTTTCTATTTGCAAATTATATGTTAGATCGTTTATACATTGTTTTTATTTGGGGTGGTTGTAAAACTATTCCACTTTTGAAGTTATAACAAAAGCCGGCATTGGCATGCTCAATAAATTAATTCTCACTGTAAAAAAACGTCACGTCACACAGCGGTAGACTACTAGATCTAGACTAGATCTAGAAATCTAGTTCTAATAAAACTGGTTTTTAAGCTAAGCACATGGAAATCTAGATCTATTCATTTGCTAAGATCTAGTAGAAGGTATAGATCTGGCTAGAGCTAGTCAAGTACTTTACCTACGGAAAATGATTAAATTTTGTAATGTAAAAGATTGTCATGTTTGGTCAATTTGGAAAATTGTGAGGGTAGTCACCAGCAGTGTCTAAGCATTCCTCATTACATCAACAGTAACACCATCTTGCCTATTTAATACTAAACAAAGAAATGTTTGCCACTGCAAGCAATCTTACATATTATTATGTAAGCATCAATAGGCCTCCATGTTGAAAAAGTCTTTTAAGTTAATAAATTATGAGGAACTGAAACTGGTGGTTGACCAGTTATTAAGTTATTATCAAATTATAGAGAATTGCAGTAGGCACTAATTTAATAAATTAAAGTATGATAAAGATTGTAATAATGACATACACAAGCAAACAAAATTTCTCTGCATATATTTTGCAAAAAGGGTGAGAACTCAGTGGTTTTATTTAATTTATTGGAAACAGTGATGAATAAAAACATTTCTTAACTGTTGATTTGAGCAGATGTTTATTTTTAAATGAGGTCTTTTACAAAAGGCCTATGCTGGCCGGAATAAGATATGCATGCGCAATGGAGAGAAACTACAACTTGCCATCGCGGCGATGTTTTGATGGTACTGCGCATGCGTGTGTTTACAACCGCAGAATCCTATCCCAAGCCCAAATCATAGGTCACTGCGCATGTGCAGAATTATCTTTTGCCGACTAAGTGGAGACGTTGGGGAGAAAAATCTTCTTCCTAGTAGTCACTTTGTTTATAAAAATATTAATGAGATTGAGAACTGCAGGGCTTTCATTAATCGCATAGAATTCATAAAATGAAGACATCTTGGAAGCATAAAACTGAAACATCTATTGTTTGAATAAATCAAGAACAGTGGCTAAAATTACTTGAAGAACAAATAACTCTACTTTCCATATATGAACTTTATATTTTAATATTGTTTTTACGCAAGGCATTTTATTTTTATAGCACTTATTTTTAAAGCTAAGCATAGTTAAGTAAATTAAACTGCAAATGACTAATAATTGTATTTCTTTTCAGTATTATCTATTATTGGAGTTTTGGCTATAGCTGTTGTGGGTCAAGCCCTCACCCCATCTTCATTTCTTACAACCCTTGATCAAAACAGATTAAAGTCTGTGTTTGAAGCTGCAGCGCCATATGGTGACACACAGTCTGCACATTATTCTATCCTCGGTTTGAAATTATTAGGGGCAACCATCCCTAATTCACAGGTAATTTAGACCTTTCAATTATTTTAAATATTTATATAGAGGTCTGGTACACACACACACACTGCAAAAAAATATACTTACAGTGACATTTGAAGAATATAAATATTTCAGGTAGTGTGACTCACACACACAATATTTTCTACTGTTTGTGTTTAATGTAGGGCTATTTACTATGCATTAAACCTATCTCTTTACAACAGGATTCCTGTAAAACACTATCCAAAGTTATTGATGGCAGCAGTGTAGCATCAATCTACTATGCAGCCACAGCAGCTAAAGCTTTGGGTAATTGCAAGGTAAATGTGTTCTTTGAAAATGTAAACTATCATAAAAACCTATTAATATTTATTGAATTCAAGGCTTAAAACAGTGATGTTGAATTATTAAACTTTACATGTTAATGAAAATTAGTGCAAGCTATGTTATAGCGCATCAAAATCATTTTTGTATAAATTATAATTACATTTTGTATCAATTTACTTTCTAGATTGAAGTGCCAGAGTTTAAGAAAACATTGACGGATGCTATCAAAGAAGATGCTAGTGTCCAAGATATTGTGTTTGCTTATTTAGCACTAAAAAGTTTGGGTCTTCCAGGTAATATTAGTTTAATGACATATACTCATAAGTTGGTAGCATTTGTTTATTTATCTTTATTCCAGGCTGTTGCCTAAATATAAATTTTGTTTTTTAGCTGATGATGGGGCAGTATCTAAAGCTCTCTTGGCAGCACTTAAGACTGATGATTCCCCTACCAGGTATGCATTGATATTGCAAACTTTATTTTTATTTAATTTTAGCAAATAACAGTTAATGCACATTTCATTTATTGACACCTTTTGCAACTTAATATGTTGTTCATGAACACTTGTGTAATGTATTTCCAATAAAGCCAATGTTTGAAATGTTTTTATTTTGCCTATACTAAAGTATTAAATATTTCTTCTGTGAGGAACACTTCTGACTCATCTACCATTCGTGTAATTTTTGTGTTTCAGTCATGGTTATGCCTTTTTAGCAGCAGCTGAATTATCTGGAGATATCAATAAATTTGTTGACAATATTGAAGATGTTGTGGCTCAGGCAGATGAAGTGGATGATAAATATTTACAAGTAATATTTACTTTATAAAAAAAAATTATTCTGGGTAATTTTAGTTCTTAGTTGATGTATTGAAGTTAATTCTTATTAATTATATATTCAATAAATTTTGTCATTTTTTTTTTTTTCAGTTTGAAGGTGGCCTTTTTGCCACAGCTTTAGTTGTAGACAGTGCATACAAATTGGCTGAAAAAAATAAGAAACCTCCCACAATTGCCCAGGTATTTTAAAATTCATATTTGAAATATTTTTTTATTCCTGAAAAAATTAAAAATTGAGTACCAGCATTAATACATTGTTATTTTGGATTTTTTTTTAAGGACAAGATTTTGAAGTTTGCAAACTATTTCCTGAGTCGCAAGCATGTTCACCAGCTTAAATCTGCCTACCAGTTCCTTGCAGTCATCAAGACTCTTACAACCAACAAGGTTTTTTATTTTATTTTTTTTTGTCTTTTCTGTTTCATAAGTTCCATTTTTAGTATTTAGCAATTTTATGGTATAACAGCTTACTGTAATAAGATTTCTTTTTATATTTTTTTCTAGTTTCACATTCCAGTAGCTGTATCACTTGCTAGCCCGGTGGCTGTTACTCAGGTTGATGCATCTGTTAAAGTAAGTCCACAAAGTTTTCATTGTCTTCTTACAGCTAATTAACCCATTACAGGCCTGCTGTCGCTCAGAAAATAATTTTGTGTTGTACAGTCTGGTGCGCCTTCAGTCGCCCGAACCATGTGTCGTACATTAAAGTAAAAGTTATTATTGCTGTTAAAATTAAAGTGATAGTTTTCACAAGTTTGCAGTATCCATTCTCGCTAAAAGATTTTCTCTAAAACACCCTTATGAAGTGTTAGTCTGCTGATTTTCACACAGCTTTTTCTTTTTGTGATAATCAGCTCTCAACTTTTTATTTCTAGGTCCAAGTAACCGATCTCCTGGGTGGAGCCCTTGGTGAAATGACTGTAACTGCTGATAGTGCCAGACATTTGGAAGATGGAGCTGTTGTCCTCAGCAAGAAACAATTTACACCATCTGGTTCTGACAAGTGGGTGATTTAACATGTTTGTTATTTGACATTCACTTCTACTTGAGTCAGACAGTAAATTATTTAAACACACACTATCAAATATCCGTACCATACACACAAACATTCTTATATCCGAGTTGAAATTTAAAACAATTTTTTTTTTCTAATAGGTCTCTTTATGAGTTAAACTTCCTTGAAGCTAAACCTGCTAAAGGATTTTACAAGTTAACCATTAGTGTTGTTCCTAAAAAGAGTGATGCAAAGCTTATTGGTACAACTGGTGCAGAGGTACGGGAAAAAAAAAAGATTTTTTTTTTTAAATTTTTTAAGCAGCAGTTTGAACGTTAAAAAAATTCTTTTGAAAAATTTGTTTTGAAGCCCATTAATAAATTTACACTTTTATGACCTATAGCTTGAAGTGAAAGTTACTACCAAAGTTGCAATTGAAAATGTTGAAATTGGAGTAGCTGATAAAGATCAAGCCACTGCAGCACGTACTACAAGGTATGTTTTGTATAATGTAATAATCCTAAAATACTATACATATTATGCATTTTCTATTGTTAATTTATATTAACATTGCTAAAACACCCAGTCATTAACTTTAAAAACAATCCATCTTATTTAATGTTGATTTTTTTGTGTGCAAGTGAAATAAATGTTGAATATTTTCAGTTTTGTATTTCTATCAACATGAAAACTAGAGATTACATTTATATTTGAATTTTTACTATAAATTTTAAATAGCACATTTTTATTTGATCCTAGGCTTGTCCATCCTAGTAAAGCTGCCACTGTCATAGAAGCAGATTATCACCAGAAAATTGTCATGAAATTCCAACTCAAAGACAAAACTTCTGGTCAGCTAATGACTGCCCACCAAGCTTTTATCCGGATGACCAATATTGAAACCAAACAGGAAATCATCTTTGTTACTGAATCTGATAACAGCCTCACTAGCAAGTTTGATCTGGTAGGTTGCTTAGTAAACAGTTGTTAAAGTATGCAGGAATATTTTTTAACCATCCTAGTTTTTAAGAAAAAACTTAACAAGAACACCCCTAATAAGAATAGCTTGCTTTGTGACGCAATTTTGAAGCATAACACAATTTTTTTTTACCAGGATGTTGGTGCCAGTGCTAAAGAATTTGGATCTGCATCAGGCAAATATAGCATGGAACTGATAGTTGGAGATGCTGTGATTGAGAACCCATTCTCATGGCTTGTTGTAGGTTTTATTTTATTACTGCTTATACTACATTGTTCTTAAAGCTAATATTAATGTTGTTTTATCTGTTTTAACTGATCTTCTGTTTTTCTCTAGGCTGATGTCTCAATAACCTTTGCAGAATCTAGTGAACCAGCTGCAGACAGTACTAACCAATATGCAAAGAAACCTGAGATTAAGGTATAGAACTTTTCTTTACAAAATTCTTAAATTGCTGTATTATTATTTTTTTATTAATAAATTTTCAACAAGAGAGTCAATAATAATGTTTAAATTGTGTTCTTTAACAGTGATCAATGTCCATGTCTTTTTGAAAATCCAAGTTAAATTTTAATTCTAGCACAAGTTCAATGAACCCGAGAAGAGACCACCAGCCACTGTTTCTCTTGCATTCACTGCCCTTGTTTTACTGCCTCTGCTTATTCTTCTCGTATTGGTGAGTCATTTCACTGTGTTGATGGGTTGTTGTTATTCTGTTATTAAAACAATGTATTTATACTATCATTGTTTGAAATTAACCATTGTTACAATTATTGCAGTGGATCAGAATTGGTGTTAACATTTCAAACTTCCCCGTTTCACTCAGTGCAATTGGATTCCATGTTTGTCTAGCAGGTAGCATTTGTGTTTTTGTATAGCATCTGTAAATTAAAATGCTGGCTATCTACTTAAATTTTTTACAATTGTAAATTATTTTGTATAATAAACTGAACTGTTAAAAATAGTTAATCCTTACCTAATTTGGTTTCTAATACTTTTTGTTGTTCACAGCAATATTTGGCCTTTACTACTGCTACTGGATTAAATTAAACATGTTTCAAACATTGCGTTGGTTGGGTATTTTAGCAGTTCCAACCTTCTTCTTTGGCAACCGTCTTCTAAGTGCTTTAGCATCTAAAAGGTGAGTTTTTAAATTACTGTAACCATAAATTTAAATATGGACATGGTTAAGATATATATAAAATATTATTAAATCCCTTAAAAAGCATATATAATGATCTATCACTTTTCATATTTTGAAAAGAAACTTATTAAAGAATTTGTAAGACTGGTTAAATGTGATGTCACATTTAACATCTCTACCTTTGTCAAAGTCAAAGATTCCATTCGATAGAGAATTAGTAAAGAGTGTCTCTAACAAAAAAAAACATAAGTTTACTTTAGTCAAGTCAGAATGAAGGGGAGCAGAGGGTAGAAATCTGTAATTGTTAGTGTCATACGTAATGACTGCGTCCTTAAATGTATTGTTAGATAAAAAGGTATTCATTTAATGGAAGAGATAAGTAGTGATAATAACAGATTATACATCCTCTCTATTACTTTTTCTTATTATAAATTATACTAACATATTTTGCAATAACACTGCTGTATGCATACATTTAGGGTGCTGCTTCTTAGTGGTTTATCACTTCAAACAATTCCCTTTGCGCAAACTACTACTCATTATAAAACCATGAAAAAGAAAGAAAAAACGAGATGAAAAGTATGAGTTATCCAAGTGTTGTTTGTTTGTGTTCACTTTGTTTTTCATGTTACTTAGTTCGATTTGATTTTCTAGTAGTGACCTTATAAAGAAAAAGAATTGAATTATGTAAGTGAGAGTTACTAACAGGTGTTGGTGTTTGATGAGAAATTTTTTTATCTTTTTCTGCTTTGCTGGGTTTTTTATCAATTTTTTTCTCTTGGGTTTTGACTGTTATACTGGTGATGCTTGTCTTGTCTTATAATTAGGGTGGGCGAACCAGCTTACGTACTCTATAGTATCAGAATTGAGATTTTAGTATCTAATTATTACATCCTATTCCAATGTTGTTGTTTTGTTGGGTTTTTTTTTTTTTAAATGAATAAATGGGATTTTCTATATCAGAAGGTTCCAAACTGGTTAGTGGAGATTATTGCTGAAAGAGAGAGCCGTGAGTGGGGATTTACAATTTACAGTAAAAATCATTGTTTTTTAAAAATCTTGATTAAATGGTTTCCTGAACTTTTTTTGCCACTTTTATGTCATATTGATGTAATTCTCTAAAATATATGTTGACTCTACATTAGCTGCTGTTTCACAACATATATTCTAAAGTTAGAGTAAGAATTGTTGTAGATCATTAGAATTCATATTTTCAAGATAAAATAGTACATCTAGTATATTTTTAAAATACAACTAGATAACTTTAAGTAGCAGCATTTAGCTTTGCATCATACAAAAATTACATATACTACAAGACCCCCACATACAATAACTATGGATAATGTATATATTGTTGAACTATGGTTAAATTATAATGTACTAAATTTATGTGAATGAGGGGGCTAAAGATGTGTATAAACACAAATTTTGGAAACCCCTAATCTTTATGTGATGAATAATTTAAAATAGTTACACACTTACCAAAAGAATATTTTAGTTTTCACAATAACAAATGAAAATATTAGATCTCTTGATTTATGATATGAACTTAAGCCAACGTTTGTATTCCAATTAATTTCAACATTAAACTTCAACTTGTTAAAAAGATTTTCTAAAGACATTTTTGGTGTTATTGTATAAGCTATTTTACTACTTATGTGCATTTACTTTACTATTTTGCTTCAGGCTTAAAAAACATGCCTACTTCTATTTACATGTTTTCTCCCTTATTTAAATTTCATAGTTTAGAAATAATTTTTAAAAAGAATTCAATTTTTGAAATAACTTGAAAACTTTTTTTCCCTAATGTACATAAAAACTTAAACAATACTTATTTATTTGAAAAGATTCTTAAGCTAAAAATGTATTACTATTAGCATGTAATCTTGGTAAGGACTATTTTTTGTTTTTAATTGATGCAGACTAATTACTGCAGTCCTAAAACAGGTATGATGAACATTTTAGCCCTCCTAATATTCAATATTTATAAACTTTTTTTTTTCAGTGCAAAACATCCCTAATTAGTGTAGAAGTACTTTCATCATATAGCACAGTTTCAACATTTCCTGTAACATCAACACAAGGTGCATTTGAAATCATGGACATAAGTATTTCATGACTTACACAGATGAATTTTTTTAATAAGGGTTGCTATCTCAGCTAGTGAATGAAAGGATAATATTCCTACTTATGGTTTAGTGAATTTAAGGTTATGCTGTGTTGTGTGTTGATATGTAAACAAAATAAATGCTTCTTTGTTGTTGTTTGTCTACAACTGATGTTGTTACAGCTTGTAAACAGTGTGCACAATTTCATCTTCGTCATTTATCTGTGTGTGTAAGAATGGTAGCATTCATGTTATCACTTTTAAATTTCAATATCCATGTTATTTTCACATAGAGAAAATTGTTATGTTTAAATTAATAAATATTTTTATGTTATTGACTTCACTGTTTTTATTAAGATTTCTTGGAGTATTAATGAAAATCATGTTTATTGAGTATATGGTAACTTGCAAATTTCTATAAACTATTTGCTGAGAGCAAGGGTTAAATGGTTAATAAATGGTATTTATTAATTCAGCCCAAAGATCTAGGCATTAAAGTATTACAGCTAATTCTCCATGTCATTGCAAAATCTTTTATTGATGACAAAGCTCCTCACCCTAAACACCATGGCTTTCATCTTTTCTAATGATACAAATGTTAGCTAAGTAGGTGATTTTTGTTAGAGATGTAAGTGGTTTTTCTTTTTATTGAATCTTATTTTCTTCCTTTCTGAAAAAAACTGATTTAGAGCAAAGTAACCAACCAACTTGTTATAATTTTTTTCAATATTTCATTTTAAGTCTCAATTGAGATTAAACAAATGAGATTTACTTTGAGCCATTTGGAATTGAAGCTGGTTCGCTTCAAATTAAATTGCTAGATTTGAAAACAAAACATTTGTGGAGCGGTAAGTTCACAGATCTCAAGAGCAAGTTAGATGAGGTCCAGTAAAACATGCACATTTCACTGGACAGCTCTAAATAAAATGCCACGAGTTGAGGTCCTACTATGTGACGCATGGAATATTCTTGCAGTATGCTACAGAAAGGTGAAGAAGTTGGCATTTGGAATGCTGACGATCTTCGGGTCAACATATGGGAGCAAGCGTTTTCTTGCATGAATATAATACAAAGTATAGAAGCCAACTAACAAATAAAAATCTAGAGGCGTGCTTGAAACTGAAAACAAGTTATGAGCCAGGTTTAAACAAACTTTCAAAATGCATACAAGGCGAAACTGTTGTAAATAGTATTCAATAATTAAAGTTTATTGATTTTATTATTCTAGAAGAGCTAGATGAAATACTTTAATACTTTTTCTGCAAAACGTGTGTTTTTATTTGAATAAATATTTGATTAGGATTTTATATATATAATATATATATATAAATATATATTAATACTAATAGTTTCGCTGTCTCTCTATGTATCTATCTATCTGTCTGACAAGAACGCTCTAGAGAAAACACAAGGAAATTAAAAACATGCATAGTAATTCGAAAAACGAAGTATGACGCGGTCACATTTTAACACGTTTTTCTTAACTCAGCTTCGCGTTTGTGGATGTGTGGATTTGTTTGTTGTTAAAATTGACATCGAAAATTAGCCCACTTCTGATTGTTCTATAGTTCTGAAATTTGGCATGCAGGCTACTTTCGCCTAACAATTTCAGATGCAATCATAAAAACTAGCAATTAGAGACCGTAATTAGCTTAATTTAATTACGCCCTAAGGACCATAAAATTGAGGACATGATTTCTAAAGATACCGATAAGACTGGAAGCCTATTGACACAGTTACTTCGGCCCCAATCGATGTGAGCGCGCTGGCCGTGATCGTATAGTGGTTAGTACTTCGCGTTGTGGCCGCGACAACCCAGGTTCGAATCCTGGTCGCTCAAGATTTTTTTAGTCCGTGTATTTATAAACACTTAGTCAAGTCATACTTAATCAAGTCATTAGATAAAGTAGAAAATAAACTATATAAAAAACTTTTTTAAAAACCACGTTTTTCATGTGTAGCAACGGACTAAAAAGGAGAAAATAAAATACTTAAAAAAAACTTTTTAAAAAACCACGTTTTTCTTGTGGACTAAAAAGTAGAAAATAACTATTTACATACATTTGATGAAAAAAAACGTTAGTCGGGCAGATGGGTCGGGAAATTTGATGGTGAACGTACCCACGTTTTTTGTCATCAAATGTATGTAAATAGTTATTTTCTACTTTTTAGTCCACAAGAAAAACGTGGTTTTTTAAAAAGTTTTTTTTAAGTATTTTATTGCATAGAGTAGAAAATAATATGACGTCATTGATTATCGAGTAAACATTGAATCAAAAGGAAATTTTGTCTAATCTAAATGGTTTGCGTGAAGAGTTTCTTGCATACAATTCTTCGGGTAGGGGCGAAGCCCCACCCCCCGCGTAAGAACGTCTGAGCCCCCCCCCCTCCCCAACTCAAAAGAAATTTCCTCATCGATACTCTATAATAAAATTACCGCCTAATTAATGTGTCTAATCTAAAAAGTGGTTTTCTCGCAATTTCTTTAATGCAATTCTTCGGGTAGTGGCTAAGCGCGACACCAGTGTTTCTTTCAGACTTTTTCCTCCCCGGAGAGGGGTGGGGGGTACTTGAAATTTTCGGGGGCGGGGGTAGAATTTTCGGGGAGGGCGCGGACACTGGAGAAAGTATATAATTATATTTCGTTGAATGGGACGGTAGACATGTTTTTTGGGGGTGGGGTGGGGGTGGTGTGTGTGTGGGGGGGGGGGGGTTGGGGTGGTGTGTATGCGGGTGGGGGGTGGGGATGGTGTGTGTGGGGGGTGGGATGGTTTTAGTTTAGAGAAAAGAGACAGCACTATCAGCCTAGCGCCCGTTGTATCCTTCCTCAACGGGCCATTTTTCTCGTATATATATATATATTTATAATCCTAATCAAGTATCATAATATTGAAAATAAAAATGTTAGTGGCTCTTTAAAAACTGGGATATTTGGTAAATTATAACTTTTGGCTCTTCCGTCCCAAAAGGTTGCCGACCCCTGGCGTAGGGTGTTGCAGTAATACTTTGCTATACAGCATGCTATTTTTCAAAAAATTATATAAATTAATTGGCAATAGACATGAAGATATACTATACTATACTATACAGCCAGGAAACTACTAGCATCATATTGTCTTGGAGAACTGCCAATAAAGTTTCCAAAGAATGGTAAAAATGGTAATAACTCTTGGGCATTGATACTAAAAGAAGATGATGAAGGGTGTTGGCTAAGGTGTCACCTCATTTTAGGGGGGGGGGGGGGTCTGGCTTTTTTGTGAGGGTGGGGAGGTAAAAATCATCAAAAAAAAGTGGTGACGCCTTATTACTTGTACAGAAACGCGCTAAAATGCTTATATCTATCACTATATTTGTCATTTATTTGACTGTAGTAGGCCGAGTAATGCCATTATTCATCGTACTCGTCACTACATTCTGCAGACATTTTCTTTCAGAAAAGTGGGGGGGGGGGGGGAGCGTGCTGGCGGAAGTAGATATATATATATAAAGCAAAGTGGTCAGGTGCCCGATAGGGCACTTCCCGGCGCCGTAGGCGCGTCAAATTTGGCACGAAGGTGCCTTGGGGTGATAGAACACGACGGCCGGTGACGGTTTGGCAAAAAGTCTATGGAGAGGGGGTCAAAATTGACCTCCACTGACCGGCGCCCTATATGGGCTATATTACGAAAAACAAATTCCTCCGACGACCCCCCTTGAAATTTTGTGAGGTGGTAGGAGAACACCTTGGGGTGTCACAAAAAACTCGGCATATCTGGGAAAACTTCGTAAAGGGGTCAAAACTGACCAGTTGTATTTCCCTATATAATCTTTGTATTTTATGGGAAAAACAGAGGGTCATTTCAACGCAGACTTTAGGGTACTTAAACTCAGTACATCATGCTAATGTTTTGCATACACTTCTATAGATGACTAGGCCCTATGGAAAAACTGTTGGTCAGACTCAAAGCCCTCGACCAGGGCTAAAAGATGACCGCGAGTGAAATTCTCCTTATATTGTTATATGAGATGTATATAAATAAATTGACGAACGATCCCCTTAATATTATTTGAGGTTGTAAACCGACCCTGGAGGATAACAAAAAAACTTTATTTCCGTCGGAAAAAAGCCATTGTAGTCGTTAAATATGTTCATATGTCGTATTTTCTTATATAAGAATAGCAACTGTTTGTTTAAAAAAAAGAAAACAAAGACATACTTCACGCTGTCTTTTTCAAGGGAGGTAACCTATTTAAATAATTATTTTTCAAATAATTGTATACTATTTTAAACACAAACAGAAAATGACAAAGTATAGCATTTGCTTTAGTATAAAATTGAGTTACCAATTAAGCTACGTATCATAATTAAATTAAAAAAATAATTTTAAAAGTCAATATAATAGAAATTATTGAATATACTGTTCATGGAACCTCTGTAGTTCTATTTCCATTTTTTTAGTCATAAATTGCGTACTTTCAGATAATTTCTCTGACAAAGGCTGATAAGCAACAATCAACAACATCTTCTCTAAAATTAGCATTACTGTTTAAATTTAAGCACTCCATACCTCATCCATCACTAAATAATTAGTATTCAAATTATCAACAAATGCTTTTGAAAACCTAAGCGAAGCTAGGCAGTATGCCTAGTATATATATATATATATATATATATATATATATATATATATATATATATATATATATATATATAACGCAATGTATGTTTGTATTTACGCATTACTAGATCTACATCGGTCATCATTCATCCGACTGCCATGAAACTTTGAGAAGTTGTTGAGAATACTGAATACTTATGGGCAATATTGAATATGGGGAGGTTTCTGCGGGGGGGGGGGGGGGATTCAAATTCGCAGGGGTCTTTTTCTTATACAAAAAAACGCGTAACCTCATTTATTTATGCGGAAAGTGTGTAGTCTAGATCTAAAATTAAAATATAGATCTACTATATTTAATATTTAGATTTAGTCATCCATTTTCCAAATGTATTTTTAAAACGAAACTCGTCCCATCTCATAACCGGAAGTTTGCAGTTTACAGCAGCTTGTGCAAGACACGTTACTAAAAATAGGAACAGGGTAACTAGATCCACCACCACAACAACACCGCTCTGAAATATAAAGTCGCCAAGCTGTGGCAGTAGACTAGATCCAGAGTCTAGATAACGCCATCGGAGGTCGGTCAACGCTTATAAAAAGGGTAGGCTAAGCAAGAAATTCTCAAGTTCTTAGATTAGTTAGCCTATTGTTTAACTTTAAGCCATTAGTGATTAATGATTAAATATTAATTATTATTATTAAATAAAGGCAGATAACTCTAAACTCTAATGTTAAACGAATGCTGATCTATCTTCTTAAGTTCTTAGTTCTTACTTAGATATTTAGAAAATATTAATATCTAGATCTAGAGATCTAGATTAGTAGATTTCATATTGATCTAAATCTAGATTTAGATCTAAATCTAGATCTAGATTAGTTATAATAGTTAGATTCTAGAGAATCTAGATATCTAGATCTTAGATCTATCAACAAATGACAAATATGATTTGAGATCTAATCTAGTATTAGTTTTTCTTACTAAATCTAGAATTTACTCAAATTTCAAATTAAACATGACTACTGAATGATAGACATCCATATTTAATCCATTAGGCACTAATTTTGAAGTTTTTAGTTCATTTTAAACTAAATTACTTAATTTAATATTTATTGACACTCACTGCCATGGCCAACACACCTCTCCATGACAACTCTACTTAAGCTTGAACGTAAAGAAAACCACAAATAGGTTAGACTTTTTAAGTGGCCATGTACCCAGAGTTCCCCACTAGTGATCATCAAATAGCGGTCACGTGGTTTAAAACAATAAATAAATTTGGTTGTCATTCAAAAGTCGTGTCTTATTTTAAAAAGTGCATGCAATATTTGATTTATTTCTTCATATAATGATAAAACTAATAATTCTACAACCTCCAATTCATTTTTGTGACCTCCGGGCTGATATTTTAGAAGTTCTATTAATTTGAATGAGACCGACTTTTGAATTTAGCCTCCGTTCTCCAAACCAAATTTTAAAATGCTTTTCTGGCATATCTAACCCTGCCACTTATGGTTTGTTGTTATGACACGGAAATCCCGCCATTTTGCGCGTGGTAAACATTTTTAAATGTAATTAGTTGAAGGTCTCTGGAATTTGGCCGTAAAATCGCCGGAAATCAAACGTCCGGTCCGGGCGCCATATTGTTGTTAGCAACCGACCACGCCTCCAAGTTAGAGAGAAATACTACTAGTATAGATGAGACTTAGATCTAATTATTAATTAAATAGTAGAGTAGATCTAGATTTGACTTAGTGTCAGTGTCACACTGAATGACGTATCCTAAAATAATTTAAAATATGTAAAAGCCCATGTGCGCACTTCTCTCTCTCCATCTGTCTGCCCTAATTTTTCCTGGGCTTTAAGGTAAGTATCTCACTCTTATATAAAAAGAAAATACATCAGAGCCTCCCCTGAAGATGTGCCTGGAACTGGAAGAAACTTTTTTCTTAGTGATTTGTTATGGTTTTCCTTTTATTTCTGCTGACACCTAGAGTAATCTAGATTCTATAGCAGTGGTTCCCAACCTTTTTCTAGTGGCGACCCACTTTTATAAAAACTAAGTGACCCGCGACCCCCATAGAATTAAAAAGCCGAAATTAGTATGGAAATTAATAAGCACTAAAATAAGATTTTCTAGTAGACTTTCAATATGAACTACTATTGATAACTGTTTTAATAGCATGAGTAAAATTGCATACTATTCACTAAACCTTCGGGGTTAAGTTTTTAATTTTTAAAAAATTTGTAAACGCCAATCTATGTCATTATAATTATCTTAATTTTGTTTTTAATCGAAGAATAGTGTTGAAAATATATTCTCGAAAAGTCAATCAATTTTACGTTTGGGTATGAATGGTGAATACTACACCAAAATTGTGTCTGCAGTTTTTCATCTTACACGGAATCATTCTGCAAATCAAAGAATTCATCTTGTAATTCATCGGGAATGCTGGCAACATCAAGGGAAGAAGAGAATGGGTAATGCGTAAATGCAGATTCTTCTTTTTTCAGCTCAGAGAAATAGCGATGCAGTTCGTTTTCAAGAGATTCAAGATGCCCAGAAATCGCTTCTTTCAAAATTTTAATTATCTCACAATCAGATTCATCTACCACACCGCAGAGTTTCTCAAATTTACAATATTTCCAAGATTTGTTTTCTTTACCGATTTTGCAGCTTTGATAAAAATGACCCGAGATTATCATGGAAAGTGATAATATTCGTTCATTTTCCCTGAAGCTTCAGGTTAAGCTTATCTTGATGTTCGAACACATCTGCTAGGTATGATACTCTCTCCAACGACTCTTCTCTATGTCGTTTTAAGTATACCAAAAAGTATTGTTTCCTTTGCACTTCCAAGAACAATTTGATTTCAGATTTCAATTCAAAAACACAATTTACAACATTTTGTTTGACAGCCAGCGTACTGTAGTGTAGAAGAGCAGAACCTCGTGATCTATATTAATGTTTTTGCTCAGTTCTTTGAAGGCTCCAGATTTTATATAATTTACGACTTATACTAGCAATGGACTCTTGATGTCAATTGGTTAGGGCAGTGGTTAGGGAGCTAAATCTTTTCTATTTTCTGAAAGCCCGATTTTGAGCTAAACATAGATACATAGATGGCGCGCCATCCGTACAAACCCCCACAGCCGTTCTAACCCATTTTAATCATCCAGTTTCAAAAAAGATATTTATTTTCTCCATGCTATCTTCACAAAAGAGCAACTCTTTTATCTTTGCTATCATCCGCATGAATATCGACACAGACCAGCAACTGCGAATACGAACTCACGTATGTTGATTTATCAACTTGAAAAGCAGACAATGGTGAAAGCTTAATTTAAAAATGTGTTATTTAACATTTACGTACAGGCAGCGTTTGATGAGATTTTCTCCTATTGTTTTTTTTTTTTTTTTTTGCTTGGCATTTTCTATCGCGACTTCATTTGATGCTTGCTTGCACTAATGCTGGTGAAAACTTCGTGTTCGATCAAGTCTCTGGCGTTTGCAACTAGCTTCTTATCGACGAAAGAACTCCATATATTTTTTGGTGTGTTCCGAATGACTCGTCTCAAATGACGTTTAAGTTTTGAAGATTTCATAGATTCGTGACTGAGAATAACTTTGTACAGTGCGCTTTGTTTCTTCTCTATTACATTTCCAGTGATGTTAATGAAGCTGAATTTCAAAAATTCTTCTAAATATTTATGTTTTGTTTCAAATTACTAAGGTTTAGTATACCAGTTGGCGACCCCCCAGAAAGACCTTCGCGACCCCCAGGGGGGTCGCGACCCCCAGGTTGGGAACCCGTGTTCTATAGAATCATTAAATTTATAACTACAACGTGACTATACTAACAAATTATTTGCTCTTAAACAGTGGATACACAAAAAAAGGTACAGATAGATAGTTCAGCAATATATACCATGGCGTCTGGCACCTTAAATCCTATTACTCCAGTGAAAAGCCCTTGGGGGAAGGTAGCAACGGTAGTATCTCCTTGCTCCCTGGAAGATGTGATGAGTGAACAGCTTGCTCTGGAAATGGACAAAAAACAGCATGAGCAAATAGAGACTGCCATCTTAGAGGAGCAAAGATTTTTTGATGAACTGAAGAGCAGGTACAAAGCTACTATATTTCTCAGCAATTTTCAACACAAATAAATTTAATGTTTTTTTAACGCCTAAATTATTTAAAAAGTTTTATGTTTCATAAACATTCTCCACTTGTTTTTCTTTTAAGTGAGGCTGCCTTCGTGCCAATGTCTGATGAAGAGTTGGCAGCTAAACTGGCAGCTGAAGAGCTTGGAGAAAACCCTAATGATGAAGTTTTAGCTCGCTTTTTACAGAAAGAATTTGACAAAGAATATGATGAAATGATAGATAAAGTAGAGAAGAAGCACAATGGCACCAACAAAGGTTTTATAAAAATTGATTCATTGCACAATATTTTCACCGCTTAAATTTGAATTAATGTAGAATGTGTCTGAGATTAAGAATTATAGATGTATTACTTTGAATCCATGTATAAAGTTTCAATTAAATTTTTGCAGTATCCATTTCTTATGAAAATTATAAAATGAAGCACCAACACCAAGAAATCATGGATGAGGAAGAGGACAGCTATGATGAAGACTACCCAGAATTCCCTGCCCCTACCAGCTGGGGTAATTCATTCTTTTACAATTTTGTTTTACATTTTTAACTACATAGTTGTAACATGTGTGAGATGTAAGAAGTATGTAGAAACATTTTGTCCTGTTTATTATGGTTTAATTTTTCTATACTCTTTTGGGCATTTTTAGAGTTTTGTTGACATTGTAGCTAAATACATTTTAAAATATATATTTTTGCAGACTCGCCCAAGCCTCTGATTGGAAGTAGAGGCTATTCTGGCAATGGCAAGAATATTATAACCAAACATGATGGAGATCTGTGTGCAAGGCGGAATGCAGAAAGATTAATGGATGTAAGCTGTTTGTCTGAAGTTTTTGTGCTGTAAAAGAGGTGGTTTTAATATATAGTTTGAAGTACTAAAGGAGGATAAAAGATCACATTTAACTTTAGAATATATATAATTTATCTTGGCTTCAACAGTTCCCACCTGATTTTGAAAGCGGTGATGGAGAAGGGATGGACATGCGCCTACCCAATCATGTTTACAACCAACTCAAGTCTCACTCAGTTGTAGAAAACAAGAAAAGCCACAAAATCCATGAAAAGAAGGACCACTCCACTGCAGTAAGTTCACGCAATCTGACCTTTTTTCACTCCAAATATTCTAACAGCTAGTACAAAACTGGATCAGTCTATGTACTTGTATCATGTAAATTGTGTTTCTATGCTATATAAAATGATTAATTAAAAGGAATGTTTTATTCTCTTATCAAATAGATTAAGGCGGTTGATCAGAGAACAAGAATTTTACTATTTAAAATGGTAAACTCTGGGTATCTTTCATCTATTGATGGAATCACTAGTGAAGGAAAGGAAGCAATGGTGTTTACAGCCTCAGGTGGAATGTAAGTCTACCAAATTACTCAGAAGCTTTTCTTTAACAATAGAAAATGTACATTACAATATGGTATTGACCTTCATTATTATTCACAACACTGGCAAAACAAAAATGTTATTACTTTCAGGAAGGATGAAGTTGAACTACCTAAGCATGTTATCTTGAAAGTTTTTAAAACCACAATGAATGAATTCCGCACACGAGCTAAATATGTTCAAGGAGACCACAGGCTATCAAAGGATGTTTATAAAAAACAAAATCCAAGAAAAATTATTAAATTATGGGCTGAAAAGGAATATTTAAATTTGAAGAAGTAAGTTTAATTAGCATTTCAAACAATTTTTATCAATAAAACATAAGAAATTTTTTTTTAAATGGTCTTAAATCAAAGATGAATCATTAAGTGTTTTTGATAAAGCTATTATTATAATTTTTAACTACAATTTTTTTTGTAAATAATGTCAAGGAACTTTTTAAAAAGTTGTTTTTATATTTCAGGATGCGAAGACAAAATATTCCCTGCCCAACCCCTCTAACCTTGAAGAAACACATTCTTGCTATGACCTGCATAGGTGGGGAGAAGCCAGCACCCAAACTTAAGGAGACTAAATTGGCATTGGAAGATTTACAAATAGCATATGAACAGACAGTAGAGGTATTATAAGGCATTTTATTATGTTAACATTTTTTTTCATGCCTTTGATTTTTTTTAGCTAATATTGTTTTTCTTTTTTTTTTCAGTTAATTAAAAACCTGTACCATAAATGTGGACTAATCCATGCTGACTTGAGTGAATATAATTTATTGTGGCATGAAGGTGATGTGTGGGTGCTAGATGTCAGTCAGTCAGTAGAGAAAGAAAACCCAAATTCACATGATTTTCTCCTGCGGGATATTACCAATGTTTGTGATGTAAGTAGTTTTTATACTTGAGATCAGCAGTTTATTGGTGGGGAAGTAGTTGAACTGATTTCTTTTTTTTTAGCACCAGTAATCTAATTGCCCAAACTTAATAATTTTTTAGGAAAAATACCCATTTGCCTTGCTTTCTTTATAAAAGGGAATTGGTTTTTATTGAAAAATGGTTCCAAATTGGTGGTCACATGAATAAAGGCATATTTTTATGTTATTGTAGTTCTAAATCTGCATTTACTTGTAATTATAATTAATATAATAATTAAATTTTGTCATCAGTACTTCAGACAAGCAGGGGTTCCAGGGGTAAGCACTCCAGAAGATTTATTTATGGAGGTGACAAACTATTCTCTTCAAGGCACAGGGAAAGAATTTGCAGCGCAGGTACGTGTAAATGATGTTACTGCCTGAAACTTCATTACAAGTTGCAATAGATTAGATATCTTGGTATTTTTCAGTTACAGCTTCATGCTATTCTAAAGATCATAACTTTTTTACATTGAAGTTTTTATTTACTCTTGTAGGTCCAGCGCTACAATAAAACAGAGTATGCATTTGATTACTACTTTGAGCAGTCAGAAGAAGCCAGAGATCAGGAGCTAGATAGTGAGGACAGTAGTGAAGACAGTGATGATGAGGCCACACAGCATATTTCAAGTGAAGATCCTAGTCCCGCAGAACAAAAAACCCAGTCAAATATCCAGACACAGCAGCCTGCAGATGAAAACATTTTAGATAGCTCTAGTTGATACCCTTTAAATGTAAAATAAAACGTGTATTGCATTACTGGCGTCTATTCAGAATTTTTTTATATTAAATAAGACAATTACTAATAAGCAAGATTTAGTTATCTTGAACCCTAAACATTTTATGCAAAAGCTAAATATATTAACTTTTCAAGTGAATTCCATTTGGAACAACTATTTTGATATTAAATTCAGATAAGCAGTGTTGTAAACATAAGGTATTTTCAGATAAAATTTTAGTAGCAGGTTTAATGACAATGGCAGCTAGAAAATGTGTTTATTTTCCATAAATTGGGTTTACTTTCTCACTTTTTGCCAGACACTGGGGCTGTCGAGCAACTTCTGAGGGGAGTACATGGTTACTCAGTAGTCTGTTTATTTTTAATAAATCATGTGGCAGTTAGTAGCGCTCATTTTGATCACAGGCTTGTTTATTAGCTGCAATTTTCTGCCACATGGTTGTCAGTTGCCTTACTGGGAGCTTCTTAAAAAAATGTAATTTATTCAGACCTGAAGGGGGATAAGTGCTATTTGTGTGATTAAAGCAAATATGAACTTCTACATGCCTTGGCTATTTTTCCTCTAGATTCGTGTTAGAGACAGCAGATTATATTAAATACCTGGTTACAGCCAATAGTCATACATTAATATATTATAGCAGAAGTTGTGGGCTATGATTTTATAAATTCAATATTTAGCTTGAGATGCTTTATAGTACTTTTTCAATTGCTTATATTTATCCTAAAAGAAACATGAGTAGGCCTACATAGGGTGTTAATTCAAATAGCCTTGTTATAACTTTTAGAATGATGATCTAATAAGATTAACCATTCATATGAGTTTTTATTAAGTCTGCACATATAATATAAATAAAAGTGTTAATATTCTTAACAAATTGACCAACAGATGGATTGGACATGTTTCATGTGGAGCTTTATTTACAAGTGTGAATCATAAAGACAAATGAATGATACAATAGGTGAAGAAAATGATTCATGAGTTTTAAAATTCATAACTGGAAGGCAGCTAGCTATCTGGCATCAAACACAATAACTGAAAATAATGTCAAGGATTCAAATGTGAGACAAAAACATGTAATAATGAGCTGTAGTTAATATATCACTAGACTTGCTATTACATGTTAAACCAGTTAAATATATATCTGCCACCATGCCCCATGATAATATCTTTTTTTTTGCCAGGGTATTTTACCAAACACAAATAATTTGTAAAACTGATAAATCAGCAGTCTGGAGGGGAAGAAAAACTTAAATAACATTTGTTGAAAAACTTAAATAACATTTGTTTTGTTAACTTTAACAACACCAAAAACTTGTAAAGGATACGTCTCCTGGTGCGCTTCTTGTACATGATTCTGTAACCACATTCTCTACAACGTATGGGATCTCTGGCCTTAATTTCATTTTCTGCATGGCACTCTGTGATTGAATACAGTACAAGACATGAATTGTAAATCTTAATCTAAAACTTTGGATAAATGGAATATAACAATTAAGAAAAAATTTTTATAGCTTGTTAAAAATGAAAAAAAAACAACTAGTAAAACATAAAATATATCTGAAGCTTATGTTACAATTAAAAACTTTGTTTTGGTAAAATAGATATAGTCAGGTCTACCTCCACAGATGTAAATCATTGTCTGTTGTCTGGGTGGGTTAAGGGGATTCTCCTTACCCTGGTCCATGCTAGGAGTAGCAGACATCTAAACAAGAGTAAAACATTTAATATTCATTAGGCACAGATCTAAATAACATGATAAATATGTTGATATAATTGATATACAATACATTAAACAAGCAAATAATCATTCATAAAATTTATAACCTTATTTTATTTCAAAATAAATGTATAAAATAAATATTATGAATAAATTTAATACTGTGACTATGTTGAATGCACAGCATTCACTAACTAGATTGAGCACAATCTAAAAATTGGTGTCAGGAATACTATTCAAAGTTAGATATATATTTATATATGTCTGCTAATCCAAAACTATTACAATATCACGAGAACTTTTTAATAAATTTTGTTTGGAAACATGAGATATTTTGCCTTGCTGTAAGGAAATTAATTTCCTTTAGATATCTACTGATTGAATAAAGAGTTAAATACTATTCAATTCTACACTTGGGGGTTTGACTGGAATTACTGAAGAATGTCCCAATACCATCACTTAAGCGCTCAACAGCTCATGTTTTCTATTTTGTAAAAAAAAAAATCATGATGTGCGCAAGACGATACTGTTAGTTCATATATATTAGATAACAAGCCTATAGCATATATCATAGCATTAACAATTCCTAATTAATTGATATCATCACAGACATCACTTTAATTTTTCCCCAAACTAAAATGTACTTGAAGCCAGAGTTAACATAGTACATACATAGTAATACATATGTTTATAGGCCTAGTCCCATGCATGTGAGGTAAGCAGTAGAGCTTTAAGTCTTAATTTATAAATTTATATATTATCAATATATAGGCCTACTGCCTAATGAATAGGCCTAGCCTAAGGCTTAATCAGGCTTAAACTTAATGAAAATTGAAATGTAACAAAAAAAATTGATAAAATCAATGTTTTTTAAATTGGGCCATACAGTCACAGTAGTCAAAATCTCTGTCTAGAATCTAAATTAAACTAAATTTAGTAAATTACTTTTAACTCAAAGTCTAAAATCTATGCAGCTGAGAGATATTTTGTATATAAATTCCATTTCGTTGGGGGAGGGGGGAGATGCCTCTGGTCTTGAAGATGCTCTGGGTCTGATCAGTGAGTGGATCATTTCATTCAAGGAAATCATTATTTAATTATTTTTTAAAATTAATTTTAATTAGAGTAGTTCTGGTTACTCATCTAGATCTAGGATCTGGGTTCTTTCTAGTAATTACCTTTAAAAATAAAATGTAAAACGTATGAGTGGGATCCTACATGTGTTTAATGGCAAAATCGAAACCACAACAGAAATACACAGATAGGTTATGGACCTTAGTAGTACAGGAAATGAGACAATTCGTAGCTACCAGTAAAGCATTGCATGAAAAAACCAATCCCATTTGGCTCGGGATTACGCCTAATACTATTAGTAATAGAATTAAGAAATAAAACTATATAATCTATATAAAATGCTTTTTAAAAAAGGGTTCTTTAGAGTACACCGTATGTTTTTATTTGTGCGTGTCCTTTATGCATTACTACAGCTTTCACCGGATCGCCATGGAATATTTTGTTGTTATTGGGAATACTTCTGGGAAGGTTTCTGCTGGAAACATTTTTTTTTTTAGGGGCAGCTCCCCAGAAGAGTGTGATGCGATTTTTCTTAATATCCGGTAAAAAAATAAATGTAGAATGCGGTTTGACACCGTTCATCCGATTGCCTTGAAACTTTGCTGAGATGATGAGAATACTCCTGGGAAGGTTTCTGTGGGCGGGGGAGGGGGGGGGGGTAATTTTTTAAGGGTGGCGCCCTGGCGGGAAGCGATTTTTCTCAGTATAAGGTGTATAAAAATAAAATTCGGAAGCGGTTTTGCGTCCAGAGTTCCCGAGCGGCTATAAACTATAATCTTAGCACTTGGTATCAGTTTATTTGGCGTCTTGCAAAGAGAGTTACGGGTAATACTAAATCAATGGTAAAACTCACCAGGCGTTAAGTGACCCAGAGCGTCACCGGCACGCTCGGGAGCACTATGGCACCTACGTTCATTTTTTTAAAGGCTATGCACTAATTACAAGGCGGGCTACAATAACCGTTGACAAATTGAATCAGGCGCGTCCTCCGGCGCCCAAGCAGAGTAGATTTGGCTACAATAGTTGTTGTCATATAATAGGACACGGCGGCACACGATATTCGATGATTAATCCGAACCAGGGACGTACTCATTGCCCCTGTGGTAGTGTAACCGGTGGCTCACTAGAGCGCCCCTAGACACTCTGACACATGAGCGATCGCCGAGCAGTGTTCTAACTCACTATTACGGAGGGTGATTAGCGTGCACTCAAGGATCTCATACAGACTCACGGGGCGTCTGAGAGGTAGCGGGGACGTATCCGCGCCCCAACAACTAAGATCCAAGAAATGTAACGCCAGCATTGTTTATAATAAATAAAGCACTTTATGAAAACAATATCACAATTCTAAAATGACTTTTTGTATTGCGAGGAAACCCCCTGTAGAGTTTCGTCACTTTGCAATCTGCATCTATTTTTAGACGATTAAATTACTATTTGAGATCACGCATCTAAAAATACACAATTAGTAACACTAACAAGCTACATCAGTTACTCTGACGTTTATAACATGTTTAACAGTGTTTCTTTCAGACTGTTTTCTTCGGGGGGAGGAGGGGGAGGGGGCACTTGAAATTTTTTTTTGGGGGGGGGGGGGGGGCGGTAGACTTTCTTCGGGGGGCGGACACTGTTAAAAGTATATATTTTCTATATAAATTTCACATCGTTGGGGGGGGGCGGTAGACTTTCTTCGTGGGAGAGCCCCCCCCCCCCCCCGAAGAGATGCCTGGAAGAAAATCTGATGTCTAATATTACTAATATTTTTCATCACTTAGGCAAATGACGCAATCTGCATCTTTATTTACATGCTCCAATCAGAAAACTGGTAACGCATTGATGAAATCCTCTTTAAATTCCGTTATAGGCTTCTAGTCATTTTAGGGGGGGGGTTGTCTGGCTTTTTTGTGACAATATTTGACTAGAAGGAGTGGAGGGGGCATTTTAAAACCTATTAAAGTCGTTTATAGATGGGCCCTTATTATACAACAACTATACTAAACCTTACGTGTAAACAAATTTCAGACTTCTGTGACGGTGGGTGACTTACAAAAAAAGTAAAATGTTATGGTGTATATCAAATTTCCTATCTTATTTTAGGAGGGGGGTGTTAAAAGGAGCTTAACGTTTACTGCAACGCACGATTTCTGCATGTGAACCTCGGGTCCGCGTCTCGGAAAGGAAACTCTAAACAGCTAAAATAACATGGGTCATAACGTCAGCTTGATTGACATAAACTAGAACCGGGGGGGGGGTGTGACAAAATATGAAAAACTATTAATTTACAAGTTAAACTTTGTCCGCCCTCCCCCTTGAAATGTCAAGTGCTTCTTCCCCCCCCCCCCCCCCCCCGCCACGAAAGTTTCAAGAGCACCACCATAGAAGAGTGTCTGGAAGAAATCTTGAGTGCTCTGGAACGCAACGGGTAACCTTCTTCAATGGGAGAGGTCGTCACTCATTATTGATCGGACATTAATTAAAATGATTTGTTTAATGTAACCTCCCATTATACATACATAAAACTTGTTTTGTTTGGCTGTTAAATGAAACTTAAATGTTTGGTCTACCACACATAGTTTCTTTCAAGCCACCCATTCCCCCCCCCCCCCTACCTCCCCGAAGAAAAAGATGGATAATTTATACAGAAAATATAATAATATACTTTAATCAGTGTGTGCCTCCCCCCCCCCCCCCCCTCTGAGAAAATTGTCTGAAAGCAACACTGCTACCAGATCATCAAAAGTTCCTATCAGCTGAAGCTACTCATTTATTGTGGCAAATCCAACTCCAGTAATTTAGCTTTAACTTGAGTCGCTTAAAAAATCCTGGCAAGTTTATATTTAAGCTATTGCGATTGGTTGACACATCATTGTGGCGAGATGTTTGAAAGATAGCTATTGACGTTTCTGTTCATCCTAAAAGAATACAATGAATTCTTTATAAACAATATTCAATTTACATATTAAAACGGTAAATTAAAACGTTTTGATTGATGTAGAACTAGATCTACCTAACATTTTTCGTTTGTTAAACTGATTGTTGGTGATCTCACGGAAATTCATAAAATTAATTGACCTAGACCTAGTCTAAAGTCCTAGGCTGAAAAAATGACTAAGGCGCAAAGTTGAGCTGGTGCGGGTAGTGATGTCATGTTGATTTTTAGTGACAAACTTATAAGAGCAGAATCAGTAAACCAAATTGGTTCACTAAGAATAATACTGATACTCATTAAACAATCACTTTAATAGCATTGATCAGAGTAAACATGACAAAGAGCTAGATCTCTAACAGAAAATGGATCTAAATCTAGCTCCTCATGTACTAGTTGTACAGTAAAAAAAAACTGTTGTTTAGATCTAGATTTCTAGACTAGCTAGAATCTAGATTCTAAACTCCTAACTATAGGCCGTTCGAATTCACAGCTTCCGGGTTTGTTGTTTTGAAGCCATCTCACGGCTCATGCGCTTACCAAAAATGGCGACCAGTTTCGCTTTCACTAATGGGTAGAGCGATAAAACTAATGATTACGAAGCCACTGTTAATTTAAGAAATCGGAACTATCCGTTTCTATTTAAGTCTGTTATTTAAGAATTGTCGGATCTACTTTTGGCCTAATTTCTATGTTTGTCTCGCAAGCGGCGCCTTAGTGAAAGTAGCTCTATATAATTCTTATCTTTCGAATCAAATAACTATAAAATACCGCAGGTATTTTTAACCAGACTATTGCTATTTTTTACTTGAAAGCATTAATTTTACACACATTACAATAAACTGGTAATAATTTATGGTAGGCATGAGATATGCTCTGTAAGAATAATAATGCCATTTTATTATAATCTTTTTTGGTGAACACGAAGCGCGGGAAAATGTGTGACGCGCAAGAATCCAATCATTCGGCTAGATTTATGACTGTTTTTTATGTCACACCTAAAAATAGAATGTTTACGCTTTCTTCATTGATGATCGTTTTCATTATTTTTTTAAACTGAAAGCATGAATTATTAGTTAGATTTCAGGTTTTGTAACTTGGTATACTTACCCTTTATCAAAATTAAAAGCATAGCATGCTGATTGTGAACAAATATAGTCATAAAACACAAATATAAAGTTACAAACAATGCGATGTCGGGATGTGCCACACCCCCTCAAGAAAACACGTGTTTATTAAGCTGTTTATCTCACTTTACAACAGTAATTAAAATTAATTTTCAAATTTTTATCACTTATTGGGTAAGATTAAGCACATATTTACTAAAAATGAAAAAAAAACAAAAGCAAATTCTGTTTTAATGAAGGTCACGGGTCAAGTTTTTTTTTCCTTCTGTCATGTTCAGTGGAGGGTGCCACAGGCTGACCTGACTTTGGAATTTTTTTCAGTAATAATGACTTTGCACAGAAAGTTAAAATATGCTAAATTGGCTTAGTTTACTAGTGTGCAAGCTATTATTGATACATTTTTAATAAAAAAATCATTCTGTAATTCTCATCAAAAAGCCTACTAACTAGATCTAGCTGCTAGAATAGACCCTACTTACTAGATCTAATACTTGAATCTAGTTCTAGATCTACTCGTCTGGACGCAAGACAATCATCTAGATCTAGAATTAATATATTTTTAATTAGGGGCCTAGGCCTACATAATTATTTTTTACTTAAGATTCTAGATCTAGTATAAATTTGCTAATGCAGCCTACTACTAGAATTTCCAACATTCTTTAGCACTTTAGGCCTATTCTATTATACATATTTTAAAACAGGTGGATTGTTTTAAAGTTTAACCATGACAATTCTTATGAATGAAAAGAAGTATTTTTTGTTCAAATTAGGTTAAACAAACTGAAGGCAGGACAGATATTGATTGTGTGAATTGGTCCTTGCAGCTATAGGCCTATTGTTTGTTCTAAAACTTGTGATTATCTGAGTGTTAGACTAAATTCTAGATGGTTAGGTTGAGCCTCTGTACAATTATAAACACAATCCCAAAACTGTTTGTCTTTCTCTGTTTCCATGTTAATTTCTACTAGAGTAACCCCATACTATCTAATGTTGTAAGTTATCAAAACTAAACAGTTCAGCTGCCTTGTGAAGTCTCCTTAAATTAAGCTCATGAGCTGAACGCAATACTTTAATGGATATTAAGAGCTTGACGATGCCATCTTATTTTTTTTATTATAGTAGTTGGCGTACTATATTATTTAATTTCATGGGGGGGGGGGGAGGAGGGAAGGGTAATCTGTCTTCCGGATGAGCATCTGCTCCATTGATGGGGTTGTTGTAAATATTTTCAAGAGAAAATTGTATGGTGCAATTTTAACTATTTAAGTAGGCCTGATGAATTTTAATATTATTCATTGTAGATGGATTATCAGACTTCAACTACTGCTCAGACTGAAATGAGAAACAGTATGGAAACAGATTCTGTTGAGATGACAGCTGACAAAGAAGGATGGAACAAGGATGTTCATTATGATTTCAAAACTCCATCACATCAACAGATTGGTCATACAGATCTCACTTCATGCCTGGGCAGCGCATGCAGCGACAGTGGGTATTGTGATCGAACCCTAGAATGGACATCAAGTTCTGTTAGTTCTTCATCATCATTCCAAAATTTGGCATTATCTTCTAATAGAAATAATGTCCAGACAAACTCTTCAGACTATGAATTTTCACCAGCTTTAGAATCTATTCATTTTAGGAAAAGAAGGCCTAAAGTCTTTGATTCTAGACCACCCCCTCTACAGTTGTGTTTTTCTGATGATAAATTGTTCATTGATGATGAAAGTATACACACTACGAATACAGAATTAGGAAATGATAATGTGAATCTATTTCAAACTAAAGTAAGAAATGAAGAGAAAGAAATTATGTCACAAAAGGACTGCGATGATGCAGATAGTGGTGGGAGTTCACCTTTGTCTGTATCCACGGATGATTTACAGATAAGTTTACAAGAAATGTCACTGGATGAGATGACATCATCATGGTCTTCTAGTTCTAGAACTTCACCAGATTTCTCTAGGCATCTAATCTGTGATAAGTCAACAGAAACAATGATTAAGTGCAATAAAGAATCTTTAAATGTATTTCAAGGGGAGCCCAACGATTTATGTGTTATACAGTCTTTTAAAGATACCAAAGAGCATTGCAGTCACAGTGTTGAAGATTCTGAATGTGAATTGAGAAATTATCCAACCTTATTTGTAGACACATCAACTGAGGGAGACTTTTCTTCTCAGAAGCTTCAGTCACATGGTGTGTTCCTGTTGGATAATGATCAAACCAACCAACAGATAAATCATGACTCACTGTTTATGAAAAGTCCAAATAAACGCTACAGCAGTGATTCAGATCTTAGTGGCTCACATAATCCAGTCAAATGTAAAAGAACTCATTATATATCTGGGTTGCAATATGAAAATGATTTATCAACAAACCCAGATGGTGTTGATACCACAGTTTTACAACACGCGAATGTTGACTTTTCATTAAAAAAAACCATGAAGAAAGCTGAGATTTCTCTATTAGTATTAAATCCTCACTGTGATGTTGAGAGCCTACAAGTATCTCAGCCTATTTGTGTCAGCAATTCTGAAAAGGATACCTTCAACAGCAAGCATGTGCACAATATTTCCCTCAAAGCAGAGAGGTTGTCAAGAATAATCAAACTTCATTCGCCATTAGAAAGCTCGCGCCTAATTGGTCGAAATGTAGGACTTTGCAAATTGGATATCATCAAGAGACTAAGCTCCAGTTTTCCGTTGCTTCTTGGGAGAATATTTACCTACTTAGACACAGCTGACTTAGAAAGGTAAACAAGATATAGAAAATAACTTTTTCAGTACAAAAATTATTTTTTACTAAATAGGCCCAAAAGGTAATAGACATATATTGTTTTCTTCTTTTTTTTTTTTTAGGTTACTATGTCTTTTTTAAAAAATGTAATTACTATGCATTTGTGAAATATATATATTTATCTTTATATGCAAATATTGATTTAAAATTATTTAAATACTGTTTTTAAAAAATGTAACATTCCATACATGATTAGTCAAAAACATGTATATTTTAGTGTGGTTGAATGCAGAAGTAATGACTTTCTTTTCTTCATAGTGTTAGCAAAGTGAGCCTGGAGTGGAGGCAAGCCCTTCATGATGACCAGAAAGCTTCAAGAAGATATAAATTATTTAAAGAACAATTAAAACAAAACACCCAGACTGTCAAAGAGGAAAAGGTGGGAAATATTTACATTTTGGTTTAAAGTTAGCTCAAAATTAATTTTATCAGCACAAAAAAGTTGTAGGATACAGGGTAGTTATTGATAATTGGCAGGTTTAAGACAATCTTTAAATATGACGTAAGTTGCAGTATTATTATTTTTAATAATAGAGAAATTTGTTTGCTTCTTCTCCCGCGACGCAGTGTATAAATGTCTTTACAACTATTTTCACAGGAGAACTGTGGACAGAAATTTTTGTCTTCAAGTTCTGAACACAAGGAGCTGACAGTTTCAAAGGGGCGACTGACTTGTTTACAGTCTCAAGCTGCTAATGCTATGATCCCTACTGTCCCCTCTGTCGCGGTAAGCGTTTTATCTTTCCTCATTCATAACATAATAACACTTTACTTATATACCTGTTAAAGGGTCTCCTTCAAAAGTTATTTCTTTCAACTTCTTTTTATTCTTTCTACAGACAAACGACTCTTTTCTAACCGAGGATCAGCTTCGTAGATGCCCCAGGTGTCAGGGCTCTGCTATCATCAAGCCTAACCAGGATCGAGCAACTTGCCTTGATAGTAAATGTGGCTATGATTTCTGTAGCCGATGTTTTGCAAGTTTTCACCATCCCAAGCCCTGTAAACCTCTATGTAGATCTGCTTCCACTGCTGGTGTTGCTGGGACTAGAAAGAGTAAAAAGAATTTAAAGCGACTTTGACAGTTTAAAACATTGCTCAAAAACACTAGTCCAGTACTCCGTCATTTTGTCTTGTACTGTTGTTTTATAATGCACAACAAACAATTCCAATTTTTAAAATATTATGGGTAATTTATTTGTCAAACAGTGTATTAAGTAAGATTAACATTAAGTATTATTTTAAAGACTATTAACTTTTAATGACATAATGCTTTTAATGTTTGTCAAAAGTAATGATGTATTGCTTCCTATGACCTGTTGAAGAGTGCCAATAAAATTTATGTGATAATGAAATGATTATCAGTCATGAATGAGTGTGGTGACAGTGTGTCCAAGAAAAACGTGTACATTTTTTATATGAGCTATGTACAAATTTTGATATTTTTATTTCATGTCAATTTGTTGACCTGTAGATGTGTACATTGTAATTCTATTTACTGCTTGTTGATGTTTTTATGCATTTTAGATATTCATTGATTTTTACTTTTAAATCTTAATATATTAAACAAATGAAATGATACTTTTCTTTTATTGTTAATGTACATGGAATTCAGTTGTGTCAAAAAGATTAATTAAACAGGACTGATCATAGTGTTTCTAAACTAATGTTCCTAATGTACAGTTTGGAAGACTTGGCATCTATTGTGATAAAAGTTTTTAGTAAAACCTGCACAAAAGAAATTTAACAGCTCCAATTTACAGAACTTTCAAAATAATTAAAATAATTAAAAGAATACTAGTCAAAACAAATATAAACCAAAAATTTGTCAGCGTTTGTTATAAATCTGCACTATCTAATATACAATTACTACTTAGCCATGGTTTAATTTCTTTAAATAAAAAAGTAGTTCTGAAAGATTAGCAATTTCTCAAGGATCCAAAGTTCAATTAAATCTAGCTCTTGTGAAGAATAGAGAATTGTTGGAAAAGTTACTTTAAACAAATTATAGGGCTTATAAGTCAGTCTCTTGTTCAAAATCCTGTTAGCCAGGAAGAAATATTAATTTTTGAAATTTATTAATTATTTTGAACAATTCCCATTAAAAACAAAAAATTGTGATTTGGCTTCTATTTTAAAATAAGTACCCAAAATGCAACTTACTATTGCAATTATAACTTTTTGTACTAATAGAATTAAGTACCGGTAAACCTAGGCTATTAATATTGTAACTACTTATAGGACAACTTGATAGCAGAAAGAACTTCTCTATGAATTTATTTTGTTAACAGATTTAATAAAAGTATTCATAATTGGTTTGAAAAATATTAGCTACTAAAAATATTAAACTACTTATGCCTATTGTAATAATAGTTAATGTATAACTACAATAAAATGTCACCAATAAAATATAAGCTCTTGTTTATTCTAACATTGAGTCAGCTGCACTGTTAAAATTGCTATTCTTTTCACAGTAGAAACAGCTTTTAAAACAAATTCATTTTGTACTAGTTTAGCCCATAATTTGTACTTTCTTATAGAAACAAATACACATTTAGATGCTGCCCCATCCTAGTTTGCTGGCTCAGAACTAGTGCAGGAATGGCCGTACTTACTATATAAGCATTCAAGATATTCCAGTATGTAGTTAAACGGTGAAACAGAAATTAGCTGTTAATCATAAAAAGCAAATTCCCATCTCCACAAAACCCACCTAAGAAGCTAATTGTATACGGACTTCCTGTTTGATTCTTGTCGACCCCGTCCTCACAACACCACCAGTCACAGGGTGTTCAGTAATGTAGTTTCATCCCTTATTTAGATATGACACGAATGACTCTACTTGCTTTGCAAACATTTTACATAGATAATCAATTGTGGATTTTCCAAAGGTACATAAATTACCTAGGTGTGCGAATAACCAAGATCTTCAAGAAGGTTAAGTTATGCAAATTTCAAAAATTTGAAGTCAAGAATGCAATAGAAAAATTATTATCTTCCATTTATTTAACAGTTTTTAAGATTAGACATTAGACTTAAAAGAGATTGTTTTTTAAGACAGTCTCCAGACCCACAGATACAACACAGGAACAGAATAAAAGACTAAATTATAATTTTGTAAAATCATCAGTCTTAAGATGATGTAAAAGTCATCAACTGGTACAGACTAGACAACACAACGAAGTAGATGAAAAATTTATTTGCTATTTATGTGATCCCAGTCCACTTTAAGGAAGTGTAGACAACACTCTTGCTTCTGTCCACAGTGCAGAGTAAAGCTGTCTTCCTCACGTTGGATGCCAGCCTGCCGAGGGTGACAATGTCCAGACAATGTATTTCCTCATGTTGGGTTTTGCAGATGGCAATATAATGTGAGTGATAGCGAGCTGGGTCTCCTGTGGAGATGTGCATAATAGATATTAATTTAACCAACTATTTTTTTTAACTATGATACAGAAAATTCAGTTTAACTTAATCATACTTATATAAGAAAAAGAAAATTACACTATGTAATAGTAAGACAGAAAAAAAAATTTAATGGAGAAAAAAACAAGTAAAAAGCAGATATTATCATTATGCAATAGTTTAAAAATATATTTTGTTTCAAAAATAGAAAAGTCCCAGATAATCAAATACTAAACTAAAGCTGGAAATAAACATCACAGATTAAAATAAGAACATTCTGTTTAAAATGCAGATATCTTTATTCCATATTAAACGTTCTTTACAATCTGCAAACTTAGTACATCTTAATGGAAATAAGTTGTGGTCAAAATGAGACAATCTTTGGAATTTAGGTCTTTAACAGTGTATTAACATAAATAAGTCTAATATTGGACAGTAAGGCAATATTTTACAACCAGTACATTTATTTCCATACCTGGGTAAACAAGGAAATCTCCCCCGAACTTTGACCCTGATGTCAGATAAAAGCCCTTTTCCCACAGGTCTTTGAACACACAATATCTCAGCCTTTCCCTTTCAGTCATAGGAAACTTCCAGTCTTGGCAAGGGCGAACACTATGGCGCCAAGGATTTTCTAAAGAAAGTAAAACATTTTAAAAATAAACTTATCCTTTGCTATAGAAAGCATCATGAGATGGTGTGGTTGGGTGCCAACTCAAAAGTCTCGAGTTTGGATCTCAATATGGACTAAAGTCTGCAAGCTTTCCTTCGTTTCAGCCAGCTCTGATAGGTAACTGACTCGTGTTAAGGCACCTGAACATAGTGCTGACCAGACCATCACTTCAAATGTTGAGGTCAAGAAACATGAACTCTACTGCATCTGCCCTATGGTAATAAAAATATATTGCAATAGTGTCCCCTATGAACAAAATGCCTGAAGAAGATGGTATCGAGAAGGTGGGAAGAGAAAAGTTTACAGGACTTGTCAAATTAAAAAAAAAAAACTTCCAACATAAATATGAGGTGCATTATTGTATGAGTGTCTATGAATAAGCTTTAAAATGAAAATAGTACTTAAGGCACTGACCAGTAAAAATTTGCACCAAACAATGTTTAGCTGAAGTGTCCGGCTCTTCCTTGAGAATGTCATCAACCTCTAAGTTGTCAACTTCATCACTGTCTGAACTGTCTTCACTGTTGTCATTGCTCCCAGCTGTTTCATTTAACTTCCCTCTTTTAGGACTGGGGCCGTCCAGATTTGAATCGGAGTTGGTACATAGGTTTTCATTTGCATTGAATGTGTTACCTGAATGAAGCAGGCTATCAGCTGTATTAGATGTGTTGTTTGGATTTTTTGGGCTTTCTTCTGCATTGGTTGTACTAATATGGTTTCCATCAGTATTAGATATTTTACTTGGATTTTGTGGGCTGCTTGCATCTGTAGTTTGATTACAGAGGTCTGCATTTGTTTTGGATGTGTGGGTTTGATTAGGGGGGCTTGACTCAGAATCTACACTGGAGCTGATGATGGAACTGCCATTTTTATTTTGTGTTAATTGTTTTTGTTTTTTCGCTTTCTTTCCAGCAATGATGTCTTTAAGACGATGCTGGACATCCTGCCTTCTGCTGTTCTTGTAAAGCTGTTGCTAATATTTAAATAATCAATTTGTGAATTAATGTATTTAAAATTTTATATGAAGTTAATTTGAAACCTTTGAGAAAACACAATACATAAATCAATATTAAATAATCAACCCTTATAGTAGAAATTGGTTTTACTTGTAATTCATTCCACATACAGGTAAAAGCACTTATAATTAATTAGATATACTAATATAATAGTTTACAATCTGTGAGACTAGTACAGTAGCTTGTCAACAAAATTATTTTTAAAATTAACGTAAAAAATCTTGGAAATAAGTTTGATATAGGAATATATGTAAAACAACAGTAATATAATGCTATATAAGGTGGATCAATAAGACCCTCTAACTGTTTAATTAATTAATTGAAAACAGCATTACCGATCATAAATTTTGAATGAAGTTTAAGTACCTGAATTTTGATATTTTGCTCACGCACTCTATTGAAAGCAGTGTCTCTCATTTTTTGTAGGCTTGCTGAGACAGTATCTTCGTCAACAACAACAACTGCAGCATCTACACACAAAAGCAATAACAGAAATACATTTTCATTAAGTTTTAAAAACAAAACCATCTAGAAATAATAAATGATAGCTCTTCAACATTAATAACTAGTTTAAAGAGATCCATACCCATTACATGTACATATATTTTATCTATATTTATAAGCAGAAAGACTCAAGCCAGTTTACCTAATTCAACAAGGAGCTTGGCCTCCTCAGGCATGAGCTGTAAAGGAAGACCTAAATGATTGTTCTGTCTTGGAGCACGAGGCAAGCTGCCAGTCAATTTGCCTATTATTCTGCATTCTTCCCTTAACATCTGTGCATCTAATAATGAAAAAAAGCTTGCATTAGTTAAAGGAAAATTAAAGAAAATACACCCTTTAAAAAAACATAAGTAAAAAAACTCAAGTAATTAGTATGATAAATGTTAATTGTGCATGAGCACTGCAAGTTTTAATCAGAAATAGTTGATGATACCATCTACCCCTAGTCACTACAAAGGAAAGAGCTGAATGTTATGGTACATTTTTTTTTAAAATGTGGTGATGCAATATAATTATGTCTAAAGAGTTGCAGACAATTGGTCAAATCTGAACAAGCCACCAGAATGATGACCAGCCATGGGTCAGAGTCACATGACTAGAACATGTGAAAGGGCTATTCATTTTGGCACTTGCAGGTGAGTAAAATCCATAAGTCAGGGAGAAGAATTTATAAAGTAATACCAGTCATCAAAAGTAACTTTGTAGAATGTTCAATAATGGAATCAGAGTTAGTTTAATAGGAGTGTAAACAGAGTGTAAAAATAGGTGTAGTTCATTTAGATACAGTATTTTGTGTTCAAGGGAATAAACAATGCATTTTTAATGAGACTTTAGAGTTTGTATATGACTAGATAAGAGTACACAAAACAGACAAAGGATAAAGATTCTCTTTCTTCATATAAACCAGAAAGATATTTTCTTTTCTATCACCACATATATGAACTTTAATTTAATACTTTTTAGCTAAGAGGCAACACAGTATGTTTTGAGATTAAAAGGCAAAAGGTAGATCTGTGAAGTTTTGATGCTATTGCAACCGATAGGGTTATGTCATTGTAAAATCATACGGGAGTAATTATGGGAAAAGAAGTGTAGTTTAGTGTGGCTTCTTAGTAGCTTGTACACTAGCTTAGTCTTTACCTTCTGCATTCCAGATAAACAATGAACCATGACTGTAAAATATATTAACTTTCCCATCTATGGTACAGGATTCATCACTTTCATCCTCACTATTTTCTGTATCTTCATAATCTTCACTACTATATTCTTCATCATCTTGCTCAAAGTTATTATTTTTTATCGAATTACTGTCATCGCTACTAACAGATAAGTGAGAAGGTAGCTGTTGATTTTCATCACCCTCATCATCAGTAATTTCTAAAATATCATCATCATCGATGATAACAGGATCATTGACAGATTCAAAATGTTTAGCATTATAATTGGTAATATCAGGTTTGATTGTAGTTGATGTTTCATTGACTCTATGTGACTCGTTTACACTCTGTGACTCGTTGATTTCATCAACTTTAGTCTCATTATTAGTAGTTTTTATTGTATTTTCATTTGGTTCAGTTTTACTTTCGACATTGGGTGGTGAAACTGACGACAACAAAGTTTCCTCTTCTAAACAAGTTATATCGTCAACTGCTTCATTTTTTGATACTAGATCTTGATCTTGATTTGAGCTTGAATTGCCAATACCTAGAAGCTCGTCATCACTTTGTTCACTTGCCATAGCTTTGAGGTGACAGTAGTTACTAAACACTAACGTAATGATAACAATAACAATAGAGTTGTTTTACATCTTTCTTTACTCAGGGCGCTGCCATTTTCGACATAGATGACAAATAATAGAAAATAACCGGATCCACTGAAATCCGTAACGCTCTGCTATGTTATTTCGTTGATTTTCGGGAATTGTAAAATTTTCCCGCGAACTATCACGTGACGTAATTGGCGCGACGTTAACTGTATTTGTTGGTAGGGCCCAGCTTGTTACTGGGCTTATTTTGTATTCATTCAATATCCTTTTCTGTTTTGATTGTTTTTTTAAATTGTTCAAAAACATAGCGTTGATAAGCAATGGCTACCGAAGTAGATCAACACTTAAGGCAAATTCAGAGTGAATACCTAGATTTTCTAGATGATCAAGTAAGTAAATGTTGTATTCACCAGCCATTAATGACTAGTGGAGTAAATTTGAGTAAAACCAAGGGAGGGCAGAGTGACCAAAGGGGTGTAGTCTACTATAGAATAATATAAATTTAATAATAGGCCTAGATCAGTCACTAGATCTAGATCTATTTCTACTATTTCACAATAGTACAGGTAACAGTACAGTTGCACACTTGACTTTGAGCTACATTACTATAGGGATTTTGGTAAAAAAGCACTAATCATCATATAAAAATAAAAATTACATATTCTTGTAGAGCTCAACAAAATGAAAACAAAACAAAAAAGATTTTTTGTCTAGCTCAAATAGTTTTTTTTCTGCGAATTTTTTTGTGAGGGGTGGAATCCCCTTACTTTTGCATTGGCCAATTGTGACAAGTCATGGTATACCTGAATAAAATGAGCATAGTTATTTTAATTGCAGTTGTATTTTGTTCATATTTGCAGAGTTTAGCTAGAATGATATATAGAACTTGTAAATGTTGTTGAAATGAATAAAAATAATACAGAACTTATATTTTTGTGTTGGCTTCCTCCCATAACCCAAAAAAACTGTGTGCTGCGCAAATATGAAAATGTTTCTAAAGCCATATTTTATATAAATACAGCAAATGAAAGAACTACAAAGTTTGAAATCTAAAGTAAATGACTTGAACACTGTTATGTGCATATAATATTATAATTGCCTCATTATTTTGGGCAGGTGAAGTAGAGTCCATCTTTAAGCCATTTTGTTATAAAACTGCTGCGCAAATATGAAAATGTTTCTAAAGCAATATTTTATATAAATACAGTGAATGTAAGAACTACATAGTTAGAAATCTAAATGACTTGAACACTGTAATGTGTATATAACTACCTTGTTATTTTGGGCAGGTGAAGTAGAGCCCATATAAGCCATTTTGTAATAATTTAAATGAAGTTATCAGATCAATGTTTTTATGTGTGAATTGTGTATGGATTCTGATTTTCAGCATATAACTATATCTAAGGGTAAGTAGAACTTGAATACTTAAAATTACAGTTAGCACAATGCTAGTGTATAGCAACAGACAGGTAACCTAGATCTAGGTCTGACTCTTGTCAGTCTAGTCTGACAAAATTGGATTTTAGGAAAAACATTCTGCAAAACTAGAACTAGAGCTGAAAAAATTAAAGATGGGTATGTAAATATATTCTGAAATAAAAAATTAGGAGATTTGTTTGCACATTCCATTAGAATGCTGTTGTTAGTTGATCAAACTTAAAGGCCGGAAGATCGGGATGAAAAAATATAACAATGGTGGCAACGCGACCTACATTATCATACAGTGACCACCTCTAAACGAGTATATCTAATGTCAGAGTCAAAATATCCAAAAACAAATATCATTTCCACATATATAAGATATGTCTGCTCAGTAATCTTCACTCATCTAGAATAACCTTTTAAAAAATCGTGATTCCAACGTATTTGAAACTAGCCTTCATACAGGGGGAAGACCAAGGCAGAGACAGCGTGCAATCAGATCGCTAAGCCATCAAAACAATGGGAAAACCATTCTACTTTTCATTTAACATTAGGAAATGACCTTTTAAACTTAATTAATTACCATAAATTAAAAACTTATTAGTATGCAAAACCAAATCTCGTGCGCCCGGTATCAGAAAGTAATGGGCGATTTCGGGTCATGTTTTTACCGCGATCTCGGCCGATACCGACAACCCTAATTACTATAATTTTAAATTAAATTTTAAACTGTAGGCCTAATCTAGATTCTAGTCTCTAAATTTTTTAGATCTATTCTAGATGTGTACTCTTCTAACAAATCTAGATTCTACCTCAGCTCAGATGCAAAAGATATTGCATAGGCCTAATTAAATAATGTTTTGTTTTGTTCTTTATTAATCTTTATGTTGGCCCTAAACACACAGCTTGCGCATTTTTTAAATCATAAACATATTTTATTTTTACAGGATGACCAAGGGATATATCACCAGAAGGTTAGAGATATGGTGGCAAACAATGATGTTCGGATTAAAATAAATATAAATGATCTACGCCGAAAAAATCCAAAACGTTGTAATCTGTAAGTATCTACACTACACTCACTGAGTGACTAGATCTATATTTATCAGCCTTAAACAGCCTTTGAAAAATTATGCCTTAATCCACTGTATTTTTTAATCTTACATTTGTGTTTTGAAAAAGCTAAAAAAAACTGCCCTTAAAATTAATATTGGATCTCTAGGGCTCCTATTGTATAGTCTATTCAATTTTCTTAAATAAATAAGACTAGACATTACATTTTTGCACTATATTGTATTTTTAAACTTGTAAAATAATTCTGATTAGGCCTATTACATAACAAAAAGCAAAATATAGAATATTGCCTTAATGAATTAATTTTATGCTTTATACGTTTGTTACAATTTGTATCATTTCAGACTTTTAAATGAATCTTTTGAAGAACTCATGTGTTTCCAGAGGGCATTGAAAGATTTGGTATCTTCAGCAGATCCACTTTATGGCAAGCAACATGAAGAATTTTTTGTAGGCTTTGAAGGAAGGTAATTGTTTAAATGCAATAATTTTAACCCCATACATTAAATTATGAACTATGAAATTTTAAATTTTGTTGTTAATTTATTAACATGTTTCTGTTGGTCTTATTATCAGCTTTGGTGACAAACATAACACACCACGGTCACTAACTAGCAAGTTCCTGGGCAACATGGTGTGTGTTGAAGGCATTGTGACCAAATGTAAGAAAACTTGCATTTTATTTCTCTTTTTTACTGAAATCCTCAAAAGAAAGGCAAAATAAATTAACACTATGGTATATTCTATTGTGTTTATACAACCTTTAGTTAGCATCACACTTGTTTTTTTGTTGTTTTGTTGTTTTTTTTGTACATTTTTATAGTAAACTTTGGAACAAAACACTGTGTCCTTGCTGAGTAGTTTCTAATTTGAGTTGTTTTTGTGAACTTCATTTATAAAATATGTTGTTTTACAGGTTCATTGATAAGGCCTAAAATTGTAAGAAGTGTCCATTACTGTCCAGCAACTAAGAAAACAATTGAACGCCGTTACGCAGATATGACTTCTCTTGATGCACACCCCACCAGCGGAGTCTACCCCACTAAAGTGAGTTTAGTAACAGCTGTCACACAAGTATTAGATATTAGCACTGTAGTTACCTCAGTCAGCTGTAATTCTAAACATTTTACCTATTTTGCTTAGGATGAAGATGGAAATCTTCTTGAGACAGAGTTTGGTTTATCCGTTTACAAAGACCACCAGACTTTCAGCATTCAAGAAATGCCAGAGAAGTCGCCTCCAGGTCAGCTGCCAAGATCTGTTGACGTTATAGCAGATAATGATCTTGTTGATGCTTGCAAGGTGAGTTTGTGGACCATTCCTGCTATATTATCTGTTGCTTACATAAGTAATTTTTTTTTTTTACCCCTGTTGATGTGACACAACTTTTCTACAAACCTGTGTTTTGTATAGCCAAAAAGACAAAAAGTCCAATAGGTAGTGCTAGCTATGAGCTATATTTTCACATAGTGTCTCCCAACCAAGCATCATCTTAATCAGAGAATAAAATTTCTGTGAGGTCATGGGAATAGATTAACTCTACTTCATCTGCCTCATGTTTTGCTGGCATGATTGAGAAAAGATGTTCTAGGTAACAACACAAATGGTTGAAGTTGATCAGACTGACATGCTGCTCTGTATTTGTCTTGATTGGAAGAGTCACATTTCAGCTCCTCGTGTCCACATTTTGATGAATGAACATTCAACTTCAAATACTTTACTAATACCAGCAACACCTTTGTTTTTTAATCACATTTTTAAAGAGAAATTAAGATACTACAGTAGCAGAAGTTTCTTTTATAATTGTTCTAGTTCATTTGTTTTCTAATAATAATATACATGTTTATATAGCGTTAATACTTTTAGTTGTAATTTACTTGTGGTAAAATAGACACCATCCTCATGGCACTTTAACCACCAAAGCACTCGTCTTGAGAAAGTCTCAAATAATTTCTTTATTTTCAGCCTGGTGATAGAGTTCAAGTTGTGGGCATGTTCCGTTGTTTGCCAGCTAAGAAAAATGGATTTACAACAGCAACTTTTAGGTGAGCTATTGCACAACTGCTCTTTTACTACCTGCTTGTATTGGGGGGGGGGGGGCTTATTTAAATTTCTTTTTAATTAAAGCAGCTTAACTTGAGCACTTTTGTTCATTTTATCCCCCACAAATATTGAGTTATATCCATTAAATTAATCAAAGGAACCATTTTGTTTTGATGTTGCTTACATGTTTTATTTTCCATTTCAGGACAGTGTTGATAGCAAATAGTATTTCATTGCTGAGTAAGGAAGTTGAACCCCTTTTTTCTGCAGATGATGTGGCTAAAATTAAAAAGTTTGCTAAAGATAAAAAGCATGTATGTACATACTTGTACTTTATTTTATAAAGACTGGTGTTTGACACTTCTTGTTTTGATTCTGTTACATGCTGAATATTATTTAATCATTTTTTTTTTTTAGGATGTTTTTGAAGCTTTGGCTCGTTCGTTGGCACCATCTATCCATGGCCATGAATACATTAAAAAAGCTGTCCTGTGCATGTTGCTTGGCGGAAATGAGAAAGTTTTAGAAAACGGAACTAGGTTGAGAGGAGACATCAATGTGCTTCTTATTGGTGATCCATCTGTTGCAAAGTCTCAGATGTTGAGGTAAGAAAACAAGATTAGAACTCAAATGTTAATTCTAATAAAATTAAATATCAAGTAAATGACATTGTTTACCTTGTATATTTTCAGGTATGTGCTGTATACAGCTCCACGCGCTATCCCTACTACTGGTCGAGGCTCTTCGGGTGTTGGTCTTACAGCAGCTGTCACTACAGATCAAGAAACAGGTGTTTGTTTTTTTTTAATAACTAGTCATGAAAGATTTTAGGTTCAAATATTTATATAGAGAATTTGTTTTAAAGTTCAAAAAATGTTTTGCTATTTTCACAATAAATGCCTAAGTAATTGTTTAGTATTTTATTGATTTCAATATCTATATTTGATGTTTGAATTGTTTAGGAGAGAAACGTTTGGAAGCAGGTGCTATGGTTTTGGCAGATAGAGGGGTTGTCTGTATTGACGAGTTTGATAAAATGTCGGACATTGATCGAACTGCCATTCATGAGGTGATGGAACAAGGGCGGGTCACTATCGCTAAAGCTGGTATTCACGCCAAGTTGAACGCCAGGTGCAGTGTCCTTGCTGCTGCCAATCCAGTTTATGGACGGGTGAGAAAACTTTAACTGTACACACCTTAACTAATCTTGAGCCCGCCCTGTCATTTCTCCCTCTTGAGAACACTAACATTTTCAATTTATTTTTCTAATTGACTACTGTTATTTGTGCTTTTAGTATGATCAGTTCAAGACTCCAATGGAGAATATTGGTCTGCAAGATTCACTTTTGTCCCGTTTTGATTTGCTGTTTATTGTATTAGATAAGGTAATTCTACTTTTTATATTCTTCATTAAGCTGTATGTATTTGTTACTGTATACATCATTATTATGGCTTATAAAAATATGTTTACATAAATGTATGAAAGAAATTTGTATTACCATGAAATGGTAGCCTACATTTGAAGAAACATAACAGTTTATCGTCTTAGGTATTTAATTTTTGTTGTTGTATTTTTTAGATGGATCCAGAATCTGATAGACAAATATCAGATCATGTCTTGAGGATGCACCGCTACAGATCTGCAGGAGAACAGGATGGGGATGGTGAGTGTTTAGGCACTAGGAGTACAAAAAATTCATTGCCCTCCTCTCCTATGGCTTCGTTTTAAAAATAATTTCTCCTTGTAAAACCTAATCCAGTTCTGCCAATGGGGAGTAGCACGATGATGTTGGCCACCCAGGATCCAGAGGCTGAGAATACTGAGAACCAGGAGACCCCTGTGTACGAGAAGAGGGACACATTCCTGCATGGCCCTGGGAAGAGAGGGTAGCTGTTTTTATTCACACACCCACACAAAAATTCTTTTTAATTAGTAGCTGTTTTGTTTTTATATTTAACGCTTAGCATTAGTATAACAGAAAATTTTCTTCTTATTTTAGAGACAAGATTGTCAGCATGCAGTTCATGAGGAAATATATCCACATAGCAAAAAATGTAAAACCTATACTAACAAGGGCAGCTTCAGATTACATAGCTGAGGAGTATGCCAAGTTAAGGAATCAAGACAATCTTACACAGGATCATATTGCTAGGGTATTGTACTATAAACTGACCAATATTTAATGGTCTTAAATTTTTTACATCTTCAAGTCACATCTTTTCTTTAATCTTATTTCATACACAACCTAAATTAAAGCCCCTGCAAAGACACCATAGTTCTCAATAACACAAGTATTCTTTTTAAAAATAGTTGATTATTCTTTCATCACTTTATTCCTCCTCCCCACTACTTATACATGGGAAGTTTTTTTTTTAAATAGCTCGATCCAAAATCGTTAAAATCTTAATATACTACAAACAACTGCTGTAGATTAATTAGACTTAAGGAATGATGTATAAATTCATTTTTAAATCCATTAATTTTTAGCGCAATTTCCATACTGACAATTGCGATTATTAATTCGTTCTGGATGGATGTGTGTCCGAGCTTTAAGTCGTATCTCCTCCTCAACGAAGCAATATCGAGGACTAGTTCCAAAAGCAAATATGTTAAGCAAGTTCCGAGGATGATTGTGGGCCAAAAAAATTCCCGGAATTCCTTCCTGGATTTCCCGGAAAAGCCAAAAAAACTCGCAAAAATGCAGTTTTTGGCAACCAGACCATTTAGCGACTTGAAACATTTACCAATCGATTCCTGCCATAATTTAGAACAATATTGCCAAAGAAAGTTTTCAAAAATATCCTTTCATTCGGTCACTTTTTATTAACTTGTTTTTTGTCCTGCAGACACAACCAGTAACTGCTCGAGCTCTGGAAACAATCATTCGTCTTTCCACTGCACACGCTAAGGCTCGGCTGAGTAAAAATGTGGAACACATTGATGCTCAAGCTGCAGTGGAGCTGGTGGAGTTTGCTTATTTCAAAAAGGTCTGAATTGCATAATGAAAAAGATATGTTCTTATCAATAAGAAGTTTGATTACTCATTATAGCACCTATACTACATCCATATTTTGAGAGGATGTAAGTGTATTGTGTGCCTGTAAATGCTGTATGAACTAAATATAATTTTCCTATTCTTTAACTTAATTATCTCAATGTTTTTATGCTAGGTGTTGGAGAGAGAGAAGAAATCTCGCAGAAGGGCCAAAAACAGTGATGGGGAAGAAAGTCAGGATGAGGAGGAAGTAGAAAAAAGCCCAGCTCCTAAAAAAGCGTGAGTGGTCTTCTCATTAGACTTTGGCTGTCTAGTCTGTCCTGTTGTCTAGTAGACAGTTGACACCTATCTGTCCTGTCTAGTCTACCTACCTGTCCTGAAGTCTGGTAGATAGTTAACACCTAAAGTGTCCTGTTAACTGGCTGTCTCCCATTCCTCAGTCCTCCACCATCTTCAGTGGCCTAGTCTGTTTTGAGCCTGCCACTTGATCTTGTACTCTCACTTTTTCTTTTTCCTCACCTCATGGATTTAATGTGTAGAGATAGAGACTTCTTTGTGACAGTTGTCTTTAATGTGTAGAGACTTGTTAGTGACAGTTGTCTAACTTACATTGCAGGAGAACAGCTAGAGCAAAAAAATCAGCTCCAAAAGAAGACGGAAGTGCTGATCCATATGATTTTGAAGAACTTGAAGAAGAAAGAACAGGTTAATTAATTTTTTTTATCAGCTGATTTTATCTTGTTCACTCTATTTTAAGCAAGCTGTATTAATTAGTCCAAAAATCTAATATAAATTATTTTTAATCACCCAACAACAGAACCTGCATCGCTGGAAGAAGAGCGAAGGAAACGACGCGCCTCTGGATCAGCACCATCAACCCCAGTGTCAACACAACTGTCAGATGAAAGGTAATGTTTTCATCTTTTTGTTAGCTTTTAAATTTTATCATTTGACTGTCATGTGTGTTCACTTAGTATATTTGGCTGCTGTCATGCAATTTTCAATATACTAAAAGGTAATTTTTTTAAAAACTTAAGTTGGTAACAGGCACTAAAAATGAGATCAATAAAGTTTTCTTAACAATTACTTACCTTAAAAAAACTTGTATTGCTCTGAAGTTTAGGAAAAATTTGTATTTTACCTGTGCAATTATATTGATATATATGATTACCTCATCACTCTTAGTGGTTAACATTACAATCTATATAATAGTACAGCTCTACCACCTTCAAGAGTGAAACACATTGTTATAAGAATAATTTAATAATTTGAATTTAATCACATTCAGTAATTAAATTAGGCAATTTTAATAACAGGCAGTTTAAAAAATTATATAGTTTAGTAAGGTAAAATTATTCAGCCTGTGAGCTTTTTTTTTAACTCATACTTTCTGATGGACGAAGTGGTCTAGCGGTAGAGAGCTGGACTGCTAACCCATATGTCTCAAGTTCGAATCCGGGTTCAAGTCAGTAAACCGTCCCTGAGTCCACCCAACTCTGATGGGTACATAACTCACGTTAGGGAAAGTAAAGGCGGCTGGGCATAGTGCTGACCACGCTAATCTCTTCATACAGAAACAAGTGAACTCTACTTCACTTGCCCTATAGACCATAAAGTTTGGAAAGGGAACTTTACGTACCTGCTACAATTTCAGATTAAAAGTTTTCCGGTCCTCACTGTACCAGCTGTACAAAAAAGAGCGGGCCCAATCAGTTCAGCTGGACCAAATAAAAGCACACATGTCAGCGGAGCACAAAGACACGCCCTTTTCTGAGGATGAAATCATGTCCGCCATTGATAAAATGATGGATGAAAACCAGGTCATGCTATCAGACAATATTGTGTTCTTGGTGTAGTCAAGTGGTTGTCTTGGTTACCAGCTGTGTTAGTGTTTAAGCAAGGAAGACAACTGATCTATACCACACATCAACATCAGTGATTCCAGTTCTTGTGTTGGCTTGTGGTATTGCAAAGAATGAGAAATTTAATAGTTCAGCAGTTGATTAAATTATAATTGTTTAAAATTATTAATTTTTGTCAAGAAAAATTGTATTTAAGTCTACTGAACAACTTCTGGCATATTGCTGATAGATGTAGAATTACATTGTTTTTGCTTTTGTACATACAGTCAAGCAATTTTTGCATTTGTTTCCAATGAAATATGTTATTCCATTATTATTTTTTTATAACCTTTTTGTCTAAAACATTAATTGTAGATCTTACCATCATTGTCAATGTTTATTTCTGGGCTAATTGTTTTGTTTATCTCATTTTTATATTTACAATTTACTTGTGACATAGTGTAAAAACAATAACATTTTAAGTAAAATAAATGATTTACATGTATTTTTCATTTTCTGATGTGGCAGTACTTTTAAAAAGCAAACTGTTGGTTAAGCAAGTTCTACTAAAAAAAGTAGATTGTAACCTTTTGCTGTGACAGTGATAGCTCATAGATGATATTCAGCCCAGTGGATACCTTCATTTTAAAAAGGAATTCATCCACCTACCTAATACTAGGGTTATATCAGTCACAATTTAGTTGACAGCTACATGCAGCAGAAAAGGTGTTATGGAGTACTATTGTCATGTCCCAAAAGTGTAACTTGAGGGACTGGACCGGAGTCTTCCTCAGACTTGTCGAGGGCATTAAAGCAGCGTACAGATGGCAATCTGCGTTACGAGAGGCAGCAAATGTTCCCAACAACCACCCGAGTTAATTAGAGGATAGGTGCACTACATAATCTAAATGTCTGAAAACTTTTGATATGCTGGGGTTTAGATGAGTATTACTAGAGATGTACCAATAGTTATTTACTTTGATGGATTCAACAATAGAAGGTTACTCGTTTGAATAGACTTTTCCGCTATTTGGGACCAGGGTATGGCTAAGCCAATTGAACATAATTGGTACGTTCAGCTTTGAAAAAAACTGACATTTAATACATCACACTCATATTCCACTGCTTCATCAATTTCGCGTGATTGGCTATTTTTCGTTAAAACAAGGTAATTAAAAAGTCTAGTGACAATTTTAGCGCAATTTCCTTATGTTATCTAAAAAAAATTCTGTCGTAGCGTAAATCAAGAGCAGGGTTAGTAAAACCATTGGTTAAAATACATGTTTTATTTACAATAGAGTTACATGACTAAAAACCATTGCGCGCCTAGCTACCGAATGTGATGTCGCAGCCATTGAACGTGATGGCGCAGCTATTGAACGTGATGACGCGTGTGGTGTGGTAGGATAAAAATGCCTACTAATTCGGTCCAAATTTTAATTAATTCAAAAAAAATTTTGTGACCGAACGAAAGGATATTTTTGAAAACTTTCTTCGGCAATATTGTTCTAAATTATGGCAGAAATCGATTGGTACATGTTTCAAGTCGCTAAGGGGTCTGGTTGCCGAGATATGGGCCAAAAACTGCATTTTTTCGAGGTTTTTTTTTGGCTTTTCCGGGAAATCCATGAAAGAAACCCGGAATTTTTTAGGCCTATGTTCATCCTCGTAACTTGCTTAACATAATTGCTTTTGGAACTAGTCCTCGATATTGCTTCGTTGAGGAGGAGATACGACTTAAAGCTGCGGACACACATCCATCCATTCATTCATACATTCATACATCCAGAAATGACGGGTTAATAAACGCAATTCTCCAGAATGGAAATTGCGCTAAAAATATGTATTAAATATAATGCAATATTTTTACGCCATGGGATCGTTCGTTGTTAGCATTTCATACAGTAGATTTAAAAATCAATATTTACAAAATATTCAGTTTAAAAACAATCTATAGTCATTTCTTCATTCAATTTTCGATGCTCAAAACCTAAACAAGATCCAAAAAATTTGGGATATTTTTCTGGATAAATAATTGTTTCGTAATTTAACGATTCGGTGTCACCCGCTGTCCCCCATCTTGTAACGTTATCACTGTTTATTACCTGAGTTTCTTCCAGGCTACCTTCCTTTCTCTCTCTCCCCCCCCCCCCCCCCCCCCCCCCGAAAATATCAAGTGCCCGCCCGGAAGAAGAAGTCTGGAGGAAAAGTTTCTTTTCTGATGCTGTGAATGTGATGGTCTACGGAATAGTGTTACCTCCCTTTATTTGCACACCTTGGTTATTTCCCCTAAGTGGCGTGAAAAATGAAAGCCGACAACTCTTATTTAAAAAGGCCTATCGCACGTGTTCAGTAACTATCGCTATTATTAGGTGTACTATAAAGAAAACATTCAATATTTTAGTTATATATATATAATATACCACGGGTTCCCAACCTGGGGGTCGCGACCCCCCTGGGGGTCGCGAAGGTCTTTCTGGGGGGTCGCCAACTGGTATACTAAACCTTAGTAATTTAAAACAAAACATAAATATTTAGAAGAATTTTTGAAATTCGGCTTCATTAACATCACTGGAAACTTAATAGAGCTTGTAAGTCTCTTTGCTTCTCTTACTTAAAGTTTGAAATCTCGTTAGCCAGGGTCAGGTGAATTCTCAAAGATCATTATCAGTTTTTACGATTTTAAATAACTTAACAATAGCGTAAGTAACTTTTATTTATTTGTTACCGATTTAATAAACATATTCACAATTGGTTTGAAAACTACTAGCTGGCTAGTATAAGAAGATGGTGACCTACTTACAAGCCCTATAGAGAAGAAACAAAGCGCACTGTACAAAGTTGTTCTCAGTCACGAATCTATGAAATCTTCAAAACTAAAACGTCATTTGAGGCGAGTCATTCGGAACACACCAAAAAATATAGATCTATGGAGTTCTTTCGTCGGTAAGAAGCTAGTTGCAAACGTTAGAGACTTGATCGAACAGGAAATTTTCACCAGCATTAGTGCAAGCATCACATGAAGTCGCGATAGAAAATGCCAAGCAAAAAAAAAAAAAAAAAAACAATAGGAGAAAATCTCATCAAACGCTGCATGTACGTAAATGTTAAATAACAAATTTTTATTGAAATTAAGCTTTCACCATTGTTTGCTTTTCAAGTTAATAAATCAACAGACGTGAGGTCGTGTTCGCAGTTGCTGGTCGGTGTCTATATTCATGCGGATGATAGCAAAGAAGAGTTGCTCTTTTGTGAAGCTAGCATGGAGAAAATAAATACCTTTTTTGAAACTGGATGATTAAAATGGGTTAGGGGGTCGTCCATAAATGACGTCACACTCGTAGGGGGGAGGGGGTCCGTAATTTTGTGACGGTGTGTGATGAGGGGGAGGGGGGGGGGGGTTCAGATGGTGCGACGTCACACTTTTGCATTATAAAAAAGCAATGTTAGAAAACGAAATTCAGACGTTATTTTGCGTTTTGGAATACTTTTTTAATAAATTGTAATGGGAATTGATTAAAATACTCTATTTTGACAGAGTTCAGACAAGATTTTAGAAAAAATATCGATATTTAAAAAAAAAAAATTCAACTGCAATTTTGAGGGGTGTTGTAGGCTGAGGTGTGACGTCATTTTAGGGGGGGGGGCTGGCTTTTTGTGACGACGTGTGACGGAGGGGAGGGGGGGGAGGTAAAAATCGTCAAAAAAGCTTGACGTCATTTATGGATGACCCCTAGAACGGCTGTGGGGGTTTGTACGGATGGCGCGCCATCTATGTTTAGCTCAAAATCGGGCTTTCAGAAAACAGAAAAGATTTAGCTCCCTAACCACTGCCCTAACCAATCGACATCAAGAGTCCATTGCTAGTATAAGTCGTAAATTATATAAAATCTGGAGCCTTCAAAGAACTAATCAAAAACAATAATATAGATCACGAGGTTCTGCTCTTCTACACTACACTACGCTGGCTGTCAAGCGAAATGTTGTAAATTATGTTTTTGAATTGAAATCTGAAATCAAATTGTTCTTGGAAGTGCAAAGGAAACAAGACTTTTTGGTATACTTAAAACGACATAGAGTGGTTGGAGAGAGTAGCATACCTAGCAGATGTGTTCGAACATCAAGATAAGCTTAACCTGAAGATTCAGGGAAAATGAACGAGTATTATAACTTTCCATGATAATCTCGGGGCATTTTATCAAAGCTGCAAAATCGGTAAAGAAAATAAATCTTGGAAATATTGTAAATTTGAGAAACTCTGCGGCGTGGTAGATGAATCTGATTGTGAGATAATTAAAATTTTGAAAGAAGCGATTCCTAGGCATCTTAAATTTCTTGAAAACGAACTGCATCTGAGCTGAAAAAAGAAGAATCTGGATTTACCCATTCCCTTCTTCCCTTGATGTTGCCAGCATTCCCGATGAATTACAAGATAAATTCTTTGATTTGCAGAATGATTCCGAGTAAGATGAAAAACTGCAGACACAGTTTTGGTGTAGTATTCACCATTCATACCCAAACGTAAAATTGATTGACTTTTCGAGTATATTTTCAACACTATTCTTCGATTAAAAACAAAATTAAGATAATTATAATGACATAGATTGGCGTTAACAATTTTTTTTTAAATTAAAAACTTAACCACGAAGGTTTAGTGAATAGTATGCAATTTTACTCATGCTATTAAAACAGTTATCAAGAGTAGCTCATATTGAAAGTCTACTAGAAAATCTTATTTTAGTGCTTATTAATTTCCATACTAATTTCGGCTTTTTAATTCTATGGGGGTCGCGGGTCACTTACTTTTTATAAAAGGGGGTCGCCACCCGAAAAAGGTTGGGAACCACTGTAATATACATTTAAGATACAGGTTAAAGATTTCGTGTGTTATTACATGTAGGCTTGAGTATTTCAGTATCTTATTTTGACCTGTGACCGTCCACTTTGACCCGAACCCCCACCCACAAACGCGTCGACACAATTAAAATCTTTCGGCCACCCCCCCCCCCCCCCCCCAGACCTCTTCGTGGGCTTGTCATAATAATAATTGACCCCTTTACTCGGTAAGTTCAATGACCTGCATTGACCCCAGGGTGTCGCCAACACGGTTAGCTAATTTGTTTGATTAACCTTTTCAATTAATGCTTCACACCTGTTGTCATCCCATGGCTGTCTGGGCAGTCCAACCCCCCCCCCCCTCCTTCCATCGCCCACCCGGCTACCGTTGTATACGAATGTCTCTATTGCAAATGGCCATCCCGTGTACGTCTGCCATCAACGTCATCGTATTGTACGGCCGGCAGCCATGTTTGAAGTAAGGTCACGTGACACAAGCAGTAGAAAATACCACCGTGGAACATACTGACCTACAAACCAGAGATTTTTGTTGGCTATAGTTAATATAAGTTAAGTCCCTGTATCAATCAGCTATTGTGTGTATAGGGAACGGCGTGATCGGTTGATAGAGCATATGACTGCTGACACGAAAGTCTTAGAGTCAGTAGAACTTTTACAACCAGTTCTGATGGGTACCAGACACACGTTAAAGGCGACTGGGTGAACTCTAATTCTAAATCCTTGGAACGCCTTGTTTGAAGGGCTACTTTACTAACTTACTTGTTATGTATGTATTAGATAACGGCGTGGTCGAATGGTAGTGTTTGGCTCGAAAGTATCGAGTTCGAATCTCGGTTATATTGTATTATATGGGTTGGTGGTAAAGCCATGGATGATGCAATGTAACACTGTCATTGGATTTATCTATCTATATATATAATTCTCTTCTGGGAGCCGCTAGAAAACAAGCTGCAAACGCGCCTAGAAAACAAGCTGTAAACGCGCTCCCTACCTCCCCACCCCTACATGGTTTTAGTGAGCTGTGTTCACTCAAAATGTTTACAAGCAGAGCCAATGATTTTAAACGGGGGGGGGGGGGGGGGGGGGGGGAAGGAACGGGGGGGGGGGGGGTTATGGTCCTTAACGAGCTACTTATAGTGTTTTAAAGAAATATTTTCAGTGGCAGCGTTGGTACTGTCGAATTCACAAATTAGGAATAACTAAAAAGTAGAAAAAACAACAACTAAATAGCGGCGTATGTTATGCCGCGGACCGGCTCGTATATATAATTCTCTTCTGGGATACGCTAGAAAACAAGCTGTAAACGCTTCTCCCTACCACCCCCACCCCTACATGGTCTTAGTGAGCTGTGTTCACTCTAAATGTTTACAAGTAGAGCTGGGTTTAGTGACGACTATTAGTGGTAGATAATTTAGTTTGAAACGATTTTAAACGTAGTGAGGGAGGAAGGGGCGTGGGGGATATCGTCCTTAACGTGCTACTTATAGTGTTTTAAAAATATTTTCAGTGGCAGCGTTGGTACTGTCGAATTCACAAATTATGAATTACTGAAAAGTAGAAAAAACAACAACTAAATAACGGCGTATGTTATGCCGCGGGCCGGCTCGTATATATAATTCTCTTCTGGGAGACGTTAGAAAACAAGCTGCAAGCGCGCGCCTTGCAGTCCCCTCTCTTCCTCTCTAACGCTACCACTCCCCCACCCCACCCACCTCACATGGTCAGGTGAGTTGTAGTTCACGCTAAATGTTTATAAAACAATCGTAGGGCAGTGTTTGGTGACGGCTATTAGGGGCAGATAATTCAGTTTGAAACTATTTTAAACTTAGAGGAGGTAACTAAGAGGAGGCTGCTTTCACGTGAGGGGGGGGGGGGGGGGGGGGGGGGAATGGGGGTTTAGTGTTTTAAAGCAAATATTTTCAGTGGCAGCATTGGTACTGTCGAATTCACAAATTATGAATTACTGAAAAGTAGAAAAAACAACTAAATAGCGGCGTATAATACACCGCGGGTCGGCTCGTTTTATTTACTAAACTAGGTGGGCACAAAGACTAACACGCCGTGTTTCTTCCAGACTTTTTACTTCGGGGTGGGGGAGGAGGAGTGGCCGAACTTTGCATTCCCCCCCCCCCCCCCCCCATCCTCCAGCACAATGTTGTATCCCCCAGCAAAATGTTTTATCCCCCCAGAAAAATGTTGTACCCAGTCCAGTTTTTAGATTTGAACGTTTTGTTGCATTGGTCTTTGCTTCACACTGTTCATTTATGCCTAGCAGAGTCTCTTTCATGCACTTCTCTGAGAGGTGTAGGGTGGGGAAGTGAAAGCAAGTCTCCACCCCCCCCCTGACGATAAAATAATAAAATAATATAGCCTGTGATTTATATGCCCCCCTCCCATTCTCACACGGATAAAAATGTCGGAAAGAAACCCTGATGCCCATGTTTGGACAGTCTAAATGTGTCATTACCATTGGTACACATATCTGGAGAGTCACTGGTCATTGATGACCATATTTGGTCAGCCACTGGTCATTGATGCCCATATTTGGTCAGCCACTGGTCATTGATGCCCATATTTGGTCAGTCACTGGTCATTTGTGCCCATATTTGGTCAGCCACTGGTCATTTGTGCCCATATTTGGTCAGCCACTGGTCATGTGTGCCCATATTTGGTCAGCCACTGGTCATTTGTGCCCATATTTAGACACTCTGTTTTTGGTCCTTGGTGCCGTATTTGGATAGGCAATGGTAATTTATGCCCATATTAGGACACTGGTCATCGATACGCATATTTGGTCAGTCTGTCACTGGTCATTAATGCCCATATTTGGTCAGCCACTGGTCATTTGTGCCCATATTTAGACACTCTGTTTTGGTCAATGGTGCCGTATTTGGATAGTCAATGGGCATTGATGCCCATATTTGGTCAGTCTGTCACTGGTCATTAAAGCCCGTGCAGTCACTACGACAGCGGCGCCCCCCCCCCTAATAAGACACTTCATGTCATTGCCCTGTCCTTCCTACTTCAACACCACCCCCCCCCCACACACACACACACTTCCTAGATTCAAACAGCCAACGTCAATCCCTATAATTGAACACCATGGCTGTTTTAAGCGTTTAGTGCCTCGCACCAAATCCGGCCGTGAATCGCATCAACCGGCGCGGCTAATGCTCGGCCACCTTCTGCAAGTTTTCAAGTTTATCTTTCCCATGAGCACTTGCCCACGGGAATTCTGGGAAGTATTCGACGTAATTTGACACCATACCTCACCGCCCCAGCGAGTCAATTCAGTGTCATTTTTATTTTATTTTAAGTCTGTGTTGTCAATTAGGAATAACTTTGTCGTTCAGAATTAAATAACAATTGCAAACTAAAGCCTTTTCACATTAACTGGAACATTAAATCCATTTGTTTTAATTTAGCCCATAAATCACCTGGAGTATTGTGGATGGGACAAATGGTGGGGGGGGGGGGGGGGTGTGTGCTAGCGTTCTGTGCAGTGTATCATTAACTCGGCTCTGAATGTTTAGCCTCTGTTATGCTTGCGTAATGTGGGGGTCACGATTTAACTATGTTTTAAAAACAAAAGTACCCAAATTATTTAGGGGCTTTTCCCTCTATTTAAAAACCAAACCAAAAAACAACAGCTCTCACCCCTCCCCCCCCCACTCCCTCATCATGAAAACTTTTCGGACGAGCAATATATTATAGTGGGTGCTTGATAACCCAAATGTCTCGAGTTTGATTCCGGGGTCGTCCAAAAATGATGTGGCGTTATTTTAACTTATTGCATTCAATTTGTCAGCCTACGCACTTTTATTGTCACTTGTCATTACATATATGCCAAGTTCCTCGGGGGGGGGGGGGGGGGGGGGGGTGGCGTCACTCTTTTATGACAAGTTTGGGGTTAATTTTCGTTTGAATTAAAATTAGCAGTGATAGACTGGAGCCGTGTAACGTCGTTTTTAAGGGAAAGCAGTAACACCACACGGCTGGGGTGGGGGGGTGGTCCGCACCGAGTGACATCATCACGTCGAAAAAAAATTAATTTTTTGTCGAAAAATGTTTTATAAAACAGTGTGGGGAGAGGGGTGACACCAAACCGAAAATGCGATATTATTTATGAATGTGTTTGATACCCTAAGTCACCGCTGCGGGTTTCACCCGTCCTAGTGACGCCACTGGTGGAAAAAGGGGTGCATTTTCGGCAATGTATTGTTGTATAGGCCAAACAATAAGGGTATATAATAGAGTAGCGTATTATTGATAACATTTATCTCTACTTCATATTTTTTCAAAATATATAAACTAAAATACAATAAGGGGTCATCCATTAATGAAGTTACGCTCTTTTTTACGCTTTTTACCCCCCCCCCCCCTTCCCCCCCACCGTCACACATTGTTACAAAAAACCAGATACCCCCTAAATGACGTCACACCTCAGCTTACAACCCCGCAAATTGGCAGTTTACCTTTTTTTTTTAACATCGATTTGTTTCTAAGAATATTGACTGAGCGGTCAACATAGAATTACAATTTACAAAAACAGTTTTCTAAAACGCAAATTAACGGCTCCTATTCAGTTTCTATCATTACATTTTTAACATGCAAAAGTGTGACGTCACACTATCTGACGCCCTCTCCCCTGCCCCTCAACACACATCGTCACAAAATTACGAACGTCTCCCCACTAGGAGTGTGACGTCATTATGGACTACCCCCTATAGAGGCGTAGCGACCCTTCCCGGCGCCCGGGGACAAACTTTCGATTTGCACCCCCCCCCCTTCGAACTTTTCATTTGCACCCCCCCACACACACAAACTTTCGATTTGCACCCCCCCCCCCTCGAACTTTTCATTTGCACCCCCCACTCAAACTTTCAATTTGGCGCCCCCCCTAAGGTCGGCGCCCGAGGACATATGCCCCCCCCCCCCCTCGCTACGCCTCTGCCCCCCTATTATCGTTTAAAAGTAATTAACTATTCCTTAGTTTTTAACTGCTAGTTGAAGTTACAGAAGCAGCGGGTGACCAGCGAACACATATCACACGAGGCGTGGTTCGAAGGGATAATCGGAAACTGGACTTCCCCTTGAGTGGGTGGGAAAAGGGAGGGGTTTGAAGGGATCAGCGCATTAACCGAGATGTCTTATAAAGACTGGTTGGTGTGATCTGCGCTGCCGTCGAGTAGTGATTCTCTGAAGATTAACGTCTGCAACATTTCTAAATCAAATCTATAGGAGTCAGACGATTTCTGCACCGCTAGCTTGAAATTTAAAAATACTCAAAAACTTTTATATAACAACAGATTAGGTAAGTTTCTTTTTCTTTTTATAATTCTTAAAATGTTTTGTGACAAAATAAAAATAAAATTAAAATGTGTATAAAAAGGTTTGGCGCTTTTGATAATTGTCAGTAAGATTTAAAATTATTTAACTGTTATTTCAACTCAGAATCTTTAAAAGTCGTTTAAGTAAGCATTCGTGTAGTTTTTTGTGGTGCTTTTTCATAGTGGAAAAAGTATTAACTTATTATAATTCTTGTTATTTTTAATCTACAACTAACTGTATGTAAGTAAATCTATATACGACATCATGGAACCTATTTTATTGAGTTCTTTGTCAAAAGAAAAGTTTATAATATAGATTTTATAGTTAGTCATATACAAAGTTACGATAATTTCATGCTATAAAAGTGATCCGCATGCAGGTGGAAAATAATTTCATAGATTTTGAGGCAATAGGCCATTAGTGATCGAGCAAAATCGTCTAACACAAAACAAAGCCATATTAATACATAGTCATAAAACAATGTTAGAGACTACTATCTCAGATTATGCAACGTCTCTTAATTAACCCCTCCCATCTACAGCGATTAATAGAAACGTCTAAGTAATGAGATTAACTAAATTATAACAAAATTTAACAAAAAATCTGGAAAGCCTTATTCGACGTTAAAAGAAACAAAGTATACGTATTGATTCAATAAAAAAAAAAAAAATTCTCTAGAAAAAGAAACGAAATAATTTTTAAAAATCATAGTGTTGTTTAACACTGTCCTCTACTTAACGGTTAATCCATATAATACAACACCGTGATAAACCACCCAAAACTTTGCTGGGTTCAGTGGGTTGGGGGGGGGGGGGTGATTAGACTATATAAAAAAAAAGCTCTATTAATACACAATGTGAACAGTCAACATCTTTATAGTTAGAAAATTGATAATTGTCTTATTTAGGTTATTGGTAGGCAGGAATTTATCATGGGGTTATAACCCTCCCCTTCACACTCCATGCTTACGCTACTATCCGTTATGAGAAGAGTTTCTTTCAGGCATCTTTCCCATGTGGGAGGGGTGGGGCGCACTTCCACCGTCCCCAGCCCCTTCCCCCACCCGGACGAAAAAAAATAGAGCAAATATATTATCTACCATAACCATTGTCCGCTTACCGGAAGTGTAAGGCCCCCCCCCCCCCCCCCCACGGAAAAATACCCGAAAGAATACCCTATATCGGTTATCTATTTGTTATGTCTAGGTGAGTTGAATTCAATTACTAAAGTCACGCACATGCCATGCTATTTTTAATCACCCTTTGCTACGTCACATCATTATATCATGTGATTTACACAGACCAATCGCTCGTCTGTCTGCACTAATTAATGACCAGATGGCCTGCACGTGCATTTTTTGGGACTATGATTTAATTAGCAACGGACACGGTTTTATTTTTATTTATTTAAACCTTGATTTGCATTTGTAATGCAATGTCATTCGCCAGTTTTTGTACGGGGCCTCCATAATTGATGTGAAGATTATAACTGAACGATCCTTGGTAGACAATTAAATAGTCCTCATGTGTAAGTTACGGGACGGAGTGGCCTAGCGGTAGAGAGCTGGGCTGCTAACCCGTCAGTAAGTAGACCTGAGTCCACCTGAGTAAAGGCGGCTGGGCGTAGTGCTGACCACACTATATTCACTTGCTCCGTAGACTGTCAGGTTTGATAGGGAACTTTACTGTACATGTGTAAGTTAAAATCTGTTTTAAAAACAGTGGATTTAATTTATTTCTAAATAATTTTCTCGCTACTTGATTTAGTTACACGAACCTGTAATCTAGTCTGTCACACTTGGTCCATAACTCCATTTCACGGTCGTAGAGTGATGCACCAACACATATAACACCAGTAGGTTTTTAGGACTTGCAACATACAAATATTACATGTTTTACCATATTTTACCGTCACCTAGTCCCGTGTGAGTTAATAGAACATTTCCATAGAGCCTCTTGTAATATAACATTTTTAGGAATACACCGTTATATAACATCTGGATAGACCACAAGCACTCATGTAATATAACGTTTTAAGAACACCCTTAACACAGACACCACCCGTAAAACAAAAGACAACATACCCTATTTTGACAATAAACTATAACATCCTATCCGTTAAGCATGCTGAGGTATGGACCACCAACCTAAGATCCCCAGAGTCCTCTGTCCTGCTGGGGTATGGACCACCAACCTAAGATCCCCAGAGTCCTCTGTCCTGCTGGGGTATGGACCACCAACCTAAGATCCCCAGAGTCCTCTGTCCTGCTGGGGTATGGACCGCCAACCTAAGATTCCCAGAGTCCTCTGTCCTGCTGAGCTATGGTCCTGTGCCATTTTCTCAACTCGACTCGAGACTAAGCCCACTTTTGTATTTTGCTCTTCCAGGTCCCGTCGCTAGGTATTTCTTATTCTTGTTCGACATTGTTTTTTTTTTTTTGCGCTTTGGTTGAGGATTCCACCTTGGTTGGCTGTGAGCGCGGTGTATGCCTTATCCAAATACACCTTCTGTTGCGATCTGGTCCGTACAGGATCTATTCTGTGGGAATCCTGCTTGCTCGTCTGCTTGCTCAGGGTCAAGGACAATTCTCATCCTATTCAAAAGTGCCCTATTAAAAAAACTATCCCAGGTACTGAGAGGAGTGTGTTTCCTGTGTTTTCGAGTATTACATGACAAAAATATTTTAGTTCTTACACGACCAAAGTTCTAGTTTTAGTTCATATAGAATGAAAGTTCTGATTCTAATCTAATATGACACCAGTTTTTTTGTTACTAGTTAAAGGACAAAGTCGAATACCTAAAATTCTCCACACGCATTCGAGATCCATCAGATGCCTTATGTATTGTTCTTGTGTGAAATTTCTGATGATTTACTGTGAAGCGATTGTGTGGTCACTACAAATATCAACACTCAGATGACTTAGGCGCGTCCTTTGCAGAGTTTCTTCCAGGCATCTCTTCGGGGGGGGGGGGGGGGCGGAGCCCCCTAGAAGAAAGTTTACCGCCTCCCCCCCCCCCCCCCGAACAAAATGAACTTAATATAGAAAATATATACTTTTAACAGTGTCCACCCCCCCCCCCCGAAGAAAGTCTACCGCCTCCCCGAAAATTTCAAGTGCCCCCCCCCCCCCAACCCGGAGAAAAAAGTCTGGAAGAAACACTGGTTTTGAGCCAGTAAAAAACTCAATACTTTTGTGGCCAACCACACCTGTCCATTATCTGACATATTTATTATTATTGTACGATTTAATTTAAACTGATTTTTTTATGATTTTTTCATGTTTACATTTCAGGTCAAGATGGCGTCTCCACACCAATGTTCACTCTCCCTCTGCGTCATCACTCTTGCCGTCTGCTGCCTTTCCAGTTTCCAGACGAGCAACCAAGCGTTGGCCAAAAGTGTCCTCTCAGAATCACGTGACCCAGAGCGTGCTTCTCACGTGGACAGCAAACGTGATTTGAAAGACGTGCTCGCGTGGACTGGCGACGGCAGAGGCGCAGCGATGGACGGCTGGGTTCCCATGTACGACACGGAAGATGACATGGACGACACTTTAGAAAAAAGGGCCAGGATTAGGCTCTACAAGAGACGGCAGCCGATCAACAAACGCCGTCTGCGATTTCACAAGCGAAAATTTGCCTTCGCAGACGGATTCGGCAAGCACGAAGCACCAAAGCAACACCAGTATCAGTGGAGGGAGTTTTCAGGCGACGAAGCTGGTCACTCGAGATTAAAAAGATGGGCTGGGGAAAAAGCGATGGACGCTAATCCCGCCTTGAAACGACACCGCCGGTTCTCCTTCAACGCAAACATGAATGTTTTAGCGCAAGCGCTTTTGGCAGAGGAAGCGCGTGAACAGCTGGCGGAGTTAGAGAACCTGGAAGCGAAACTTCGGGCCATCGGCTAGAAATCTAGATCTAGTCAACTCTGTCTCCAAAACAAAACACAAAATACAAGTTTTAAAATTCAAAGAAGACTTTTGGCAACACTTATAAAGTATTTTTATATTATCTATAAGAAATAAAAATAACTATTATATGCTCACACTTTATTGCATAAATTACATAAATTACGTGATTTCTTTAACATCTATAAGTAAAAGTTCTCTTTTTTTAAAAGATTAAACATTGAGTTTCCCGTCCCACTTCTTTCTTTGAGTACGGCAGTTCTGTAGTTTTAACATTGCATGAACACAACAACAACAACACAACACAATAACTGCATCATCTCATCATCTTTTGCCGTTCGTCCCCAAAACACACGGGGCATACGAAGTAGAGTTCATCTCTTTCAATGACCTCGGCATACTTGACAGAGGCGTAGCGACCCTTCCCGGCGCCCGTGGACAAACTTTCGATTTGCACCCCCCTCGAACTTTTGATTTACACCCCCCCCCCCTCAAACTTTCAATTTGTTTTTCCAACCCATTTTGGCGCCCCCTTAGGTCGGCGCCCGGGGACATATGTCCCCCTCCCCCCTTCGCCCCCTCGCTACGCCTCTAATGCTAGAGGATAGTATGAACACTATGCTCAGCCCCCTTTGATTCCCTAACGTGAGTCAGGTACCCATCAGAGTTTGATGTTCTCAGAAACGTCGTACTAACTAGAGCCCGAACTCTACGGGTTAGCAGTCAAACGCTCTACCATTCGACCACACCTTCCCTCTACAACTGCATAGACCTACTAAAAATAAGTCGGCCCACGTAAGCCATGAACCAGCCTATACTTCAAGTTATTTTGGAAGTAAATTAACGACTGTTAATTTTACTCTCAGTATCCTGACTAGCTTTAGAATTAAAAGCTTTACATATTTTCAAGTAATTATACACTTAGTACCGCTTAACTAAACAGCGTCGGTATTGATTGTCACAGAGTTTAGTGGGCTAAAACAGTATGCACAGTGGGCTAAAACAGTATGCACAGTGGGCTAAAACAGTATGCACATTGGGCTAAAACAGTATGCACAGTGGGCTAAAACAGTAAGCACAGGGGGCTAAAACAGTATGCACAGTGGGCTATAAAAGTATGCACAGTATGCACAGTGGGCTAAAACATTATGTACAGTATGCACAGTGGGCTAAAACATTATGTACAGTATGCACAGTGGGCTAAAACAGTATGTACAGTATGCACAGTGGGCTAAAACATTATGTACAGTATGCACAGTGGGCTAAAACAGTATGTACAGTATGCACAGTGGGCTAAAACAGTATGTACAGTGGGCTAAAACAGTATGCACAGTGGGCTAAAACAGTATGCACAGTGGGCTATAAAAGTATGCACAGTATGCACAGTGGGCTAAAACATTATGTACAGTATGCACAGTGGGCTAAAACAGTATGTACAGTATGCACAGTGGGCTAAAACATTATGTACAGTATGCACAGTGGGCTAAAACAGTATGTACAGTGGGCTAAAACAGTATGTACAGTGGGCTAAAACAGTATGCACAATGGGCTAAAACAGTATGCACAGTGGGCTAAAACAGTATGCACAGTGGGCTAAAACAGTATGCACAATGGGCTAAAACAGTATGCACATTTAAGTTTGTCCATCAGAGGTGTAGCGATGGGAGCGGGGGACGCGGACGGCACCGGGTGATGCCATTTAAGGGGGGGGGGATGACACCAAGGCAAAAAATAGCAAAATATATTGAGAAAAATGATAATTCCACCTAATTAAGTGATTAATTCGAGTGTTAAATAGTCTTTTAAGAGGTTTCAAATCGAAATAGTGGGGGGGGGGGGTTCAAATCGAAAGTTTGAGAGGGGGGTGCAAATCAAAATGTTTGAGGGGGGTGGGGGTGCAAATCGAAATTTTGAGGGGGGGGGGTGCAAATCGAAAGTTTGTCCCCGGGAAGGGTCGATACGTGACACCCGACCTCGCTACGCCACTGTTGGCCATTATAATCCTGTAACATTCTGGTGCTAGTACTACATACAGTTATTTAAAAACTTGCAATTAGAAAATATCTTTCAATACAGTAAAAAATAATTAAAGTTACGCTTCCAGACCATGCGGCCAATCAAGCAGATGTAGTAGAGTTCACCTGTTTCTGGGACCTCGGTTTATAAAGGGATGGTGTGGTCAGAAATATGCCCAGTCGCCTTTACGTTCCCTAACGTGAGTTAGGTACCCATCAGAACTGGGTGGACTCAGGAGCATCCTACAAACTGGAACCAACATCCGAACTTGAGAATGTTAGGGTTGCTGTTTTATTGTACTTATTGAGTTAGGGTTATTATATGTTCGCATAGAGTTAGCAAACCACTACATGAGTATTCGCCTCATTGTATTAGAGTTAGCATACCACATGTAAATTCGCCTTTAATATTTGAGTTTCTGTTTGCAACCACCTCGTGAGTATTCCTCTCCTTGAGTTGGTGACTTTGTATTGTCATGCTTGTGATTAGCTTAGTGCGTTAGGATTACGGACTGTGCGCATTATTATATAACACAAACATATAGCTGTTGACTGTTATATTGACCACTAACCAATATTAGCCAATATAGCTTTATAAACCATTACCTCAGGCCACCCACATTTCTTGAAACCACACAATCTACGAAACAATTACACAACCGAAAAAACTATTTTGTTCAAGGGAATAATTTGAGTCGCATCTTCATTGAAAAGTTGTGAAGGCATAATTATTAGGCATTAAAAAGAAAAAAAAACGGGAGTGATCTCCCCTAAACTTTCTGGAATATTCTAATATAAAATTACGAGGGATGGCAACTCAGGACATAGACAATATTTGTTATCCATTTTTAATTACTTAAACTTTTTATAATAGAATAGAATCTCGTAAAAAAAAGAATTGCACACCAAGTGAAAAGTTTCCCTTTCAAACCTGACGGTCTATGTGGCAAGTGAAGTAGAGTTCACTTGTTTCTGTGACCTCGGCATATGAAGAGATAGTGTGGTCAGCACTATGCCCAGCCGCCTTTACGTTCCCTAACGTGAGTTAGGTACCCATCAGAGTTGGGTGGACTCAGGGACGGTCTACTGACTTGAACTCCGATTCGAACTCGAGACTAACGGGTTAGCAGTCCAGCTCTCTACCGCTAGACCACTCCGTCCCACACCAAGTGAATGCCTAATAAAATGTGTATACAAGTGCGGGATATTATTAGTACTTTATAAATTTACATGCGTTTTTTGAGAAATCGGAAATAGCGTAAATTAGTACTTCCGGTCAACGAAAATTACTCAACATTTGACAGAAGGTAGAGAATTAGATCTTTTACTTACTTGTGAAATTTCATGCATCTATCTAAAATAGTACGCAACTTATAGGCTTTTGAAAAATTCAAAGTAGAAAAAGTACCACTTCCGGTTATCGGAAATCGCTCAAAAGTTGATCAGGATCTACGATTTTGATAAAATACTTATATATATGAAATTTCATCAACCTAGCTGTATATATATGAAATTTCATCAACCTAGCTGTAACGATACTCAAGTTATCGTGTTTACACACAGACAGACACACAGACACACAGACATACGGACAGAATTGCAAAGTCCAGTTTTTACGACTCGATAACGCATAAAACGCCAAAAGGTTTATATATTTGTATTTATACTTTTTGCCTGATTAAAATAAGTCCTCTATACTCCGGATGTGATGAAGGACTGAGGAGTAAAACGGTGAAAACTCTCAAAATTTCATGTTATTTTTGTGCACGATTACAATACTTTCTCTATACTTCGTATATACGAGAAAGTAAAAATGGTTATAGTAAACACTGTCAAGTACTATCAACATATCACGTTTTACAACAGCTTGAAGAGGATATAATTGGCAGCAATGTATTTAGTTATCTATAATGGGTCTTTGTTTTTAACTGAAAACTTTTCAACTAAACCTACAATAAAGGCTAAAAGGGGGTGTGTTCGTGTTTATACTTCCTACAGTTACACTAATAAACGAATACTACGCTTCACAAGGAAAAAATCAATATCATTAAGTTGGGACGTGACGAACGAGAGGGTGGGGAGGTGACCCCCTTCTCACCTGAGGGGGCGGGGTAAAAAATGATTTCACAAGATACAAATGAAATGTCTTATGAAACACGCCTCCATTGAATATGCTATTCTCATGGTTTCCTCCAGACTTTTTTCTCCGGGGCGACGGACAGACGGGGGGGAGGGGGGGGGGGGGGGGGGGACGGGACGGACAGACGGGGGTCGGACGGACTAAAATTTCCGGGGGGGGGGGGGGGTGACGACGGGACTTTTAAAAGCAGAGGCGTAGCGAGGGGGGGCGGGGGTTGCGGATCGCACCGGGTGACACCATTTAGGGGGGTGAGTGACACCAAGGCAAAAAATAGCAAAATATATAGAGAAAAAGTTTGAGGGGGGGGGGGTGCAAATCGAAAGTTCGAGGGGGGGGGGTGCAAATCGAAAGTTCGAGGGCGGGGGGGGGGGTGCAAATCGAAAATTGAAAGTTTGTCCCTGGGAAGAGTCGCTATATATAAATGCTGTCTAAAAAAAAACACCAAAAAACATGATGTGACGGACGTTTTTTGCAGCTTCAATCTATCAGAGCTTTAAAAACATTTGATGTATTGTGTGTCATACTATATCCGTCTGCATTATGCATTTAGAATTAGATCTATACAAAATGACGGGTGTGTTATTTTTTTTTGGTGGGAGGTGGGGGTGGAGGCGGGGGATGTGTTTAATAACCAGCCTAACTTAAACGCAGTGAGCCGTGTTAACACACAGGAAACTGAGGTCTGCCAATCACCGGGACAATGTCCGAAAGATCCCGAGGTTCCAGCCTGATTCTGCTGGCATCACGCAGACCAGATTAACTCGGGATTCTTCAATTATAACTGGCAAAGATGGCCGCTTGCACGTGTTGGTCGTGTCGAACCGGAAGTCTTCGTTGTGTAGGAAGATAGAGATATGTTTTATTTATTTTTTTAAATCCCCAAAGCATTTGAGAAAATAAAAAATAAAAATATTTCAAGAAATTGAATTCAATTAAAAAAACGACGTATCACTTCAAAATGCAAATGATTAATTAGTTAATTATGTTAG